CCGAACCGCTCAACGAATATCGTGTCGAAACTTCTAATATAATATCCGAGTCGGAAGGAAAGGTGGAAAACAAGAACGCCCTACCGCCATTCACGGCAGTGGCCACAGCACCAGCCCCCTTCCGAACATGACGACAGCTCCTCCTCCTCCCATGGAGAACAGTGGGAATGTATTACCAATCCACAAGACCGACACGAGAGGTCAGGTCCTGGTTCCATATGCAAACATATCTTACATGGTATTTGATTCGCATCCGAGGAGCTGCACATTCCAGGAGGGTCAGAAATGTTGTTTTCAATTATCCCGGAGCCATATTCGTCGCACTGGCCGCCATCCTCGGATGTCAGCAACTCTGCTAACGAGAAATATGTCTGTGGTTCAAACTCCATGTCTTCATAGTTTAGGGTTCCGTAATCAAACATTAACTCTCCTTCCACTGCATTCCCGGGGGTGCCCCATTCACTGACAGGCAATGTTTGCTCCGCTTCTGGTTTGACGACAGAATTTGGTTCGGGATAAATCGAGAATTCTGTGTGGGAAGGATGATTCCCGGAGATCTCTTCGTGTTTTGCTTGCCTCCTGACGGGTAGCTTCCGGGGTACCGGCATTGGGGAAGCATTGTCCCATCCGAGATCCAAGTTGGGTTGTGTGATTTGCTCGACTTTTGAAACCGATAGAAGCAGAGGATCATCCTCAGGAACAAATGCGTCATCAGGAGGGAACGAAGGACTGGATGGTTTTGAGTCTTTTGGCTCGGAAATCCTTTCGGAATCGGAATCCAAACCTATGTATCCTTGCCCTTGTTTTTGGCTCTTGAAGATCGATTTCTTCATCAGCTTTTGTTCCTTGAGCTTCGGATCCATGTAAGGGCAATCGGGCGATCGTATCCGACGACATTTGCAACACTTGAACCCAACCACCTCGGGAATTTTCGACTCCTCGAGCTTAATAGCTGCAATGTGGTACCACTCTGCATAGCTCACACGGATACAAACATTAGATTTAATCAAATAGAGGCATTCGAGAAGCTAGATTTCCTCTTCGATATAGAGTATAGGATCCTTACTGTCACAATTTGTACAGTGGATATACGACTGATCAGGATTGTACGCCAGTTGGCAGAGAGAGCAAGAGGGCTCCACGCCCGGATTATCCGATCTTCCAGCAAGAAGAATGTTTTGATGCCTGAAGCTAACTCCGGTGTCCTCGCTGTTCTTTTTCCTCCATATCACTCCCCAAGATAACGTCTTATGTTTACTCTTTGGCACCGCACTAGAATCAGGAGTGATTTCCTTCCCTCCTGAAGCATTCTCCTGCGTTTTTTGGGACGTAGATTGTTGATTAAGAGGCTTAATTGGTATCTTGGAGACCGGAGTGACTGTGTTTTGGTGGTTTCGGTTGATCGCAACTAGAGGAGTTGTTGGATGTCTGATTAGAGAAAGAGCTTTCATATGGTAGCATCGTTTGCAGGTGACCGTAACTTCGACTTTCCCGTTTGTGTATTGCGAACGGAAAGTACACTCCTTGTGACAAAAACCTGCGGGGAAAAAATGATCAGCAAAGCAAATTCATAAGAAAGTTATATCGAGAAGCAAAAGTTAAACAAATTGCTAGACTTCTAACTGTGATACTAAAAGAACTTTCATCGGACAAGGGTTAAAATTCAAGGAGCTCCACACACAATACATTAACTAACATGCGCATGTATTACCATACTATTGCCAGAAACTTCATACAAAAAAGATGCACAAATAAAGGATACATTTTAATTCAAGTAATATGTATGTAAAATATTAAGGTTACGAAGAAAGTGCGAGACTCCAGTTTTTCCAGTGAAAGGTGAAAACAAATAGAAATCAGCCCTTTATCGTTCTGATCTAACAAAAATACTTGTTAGATTAACTGAGAATATGATGCAAATGGTAAAAATCCAAACACTAAAACAAGACACAACGATTGATAATGTACCTCAACACAGAACGATACCAACAACTTGCATCTGAATATCTTAGCAGGAATAATCATAAAATTTGAAAATACTGAAAATAAAAAAAGCATGTTGATATATTATACCTTGGCAATTGCTGCATGTTGTTGCATCCCTATCATGAAAGCAAATGGAAAGAAAAGAAAAGAATAGATTATATTAGATGGTAAAAGAATAGTAGCCATGGAAAGGCGAAAAAAAAAAGAAGCTAAACCATTTACCTCAGTAAAACATCAAGATGACACAATGCGCAAGCACACTTCTCCATATTGTCCCTCCTAGATGCTAGATATGAAAATATGTCCGAACGGGAAGTTTTCAATTGCTTTCTCTGCAACTTGGACAACATGTGTGACGGCTTCTTGATCGAAGGCAGTGGTCCTCTCTGCAAACCTTCTTCATATTCTTTGGTCAAGTACAAGGGAACACGAGCTTCTTGAAACCAATACTTTTCATGTCCATCTTCTGTTTTCTCGACATCGATCACATTCTTCATGACTCGTGAGGGGAGATGCTTTTGATTTCCAAAGGCAACTCCATATCTAACCTTGTTATCAATAATCTTCTTGTCACATATACTTGCATTTCTAAATACAGAGGCCTCTGTTTCAGGACCTTTGACATCCTGGAGGTTTTGTTCTGGCCTTACAAGTTCACTCCATCTTATATTCATATCCATGTATCTAACCTGATCCAAACGATCATTTGTATTTCAGATATAAAAAAGAGAAACTAGGAAGAGTATCATTGGACAACAATAGAAATATGCAAACAAACCTGAAGAGCGAGCTGAGATATGTTCTTGCTTCTTTCAACAGCAGCTCTCCAAACAGACTGTCTGCTTCTCTTAGGAATTCCAGAACCATCACCATAATTAAATCCAGGAACCTTTTTACTGCCACCTAATGAGCAGCAAACTAATTAGTGTATCCCGAAAACATTTAGTAGCATGAAGAAGGATACCCATATATACTAGCATTAGTAGAGCAAAACAACCAACCAAAAGTCACCCATATTTATCTAGGTTAAAATTGCTAAAGTACTAGCATAAAATAAAATTAAAAGAAAAAAGCAGACAAGAATACCTTGCCAGGCTGCTTTCTTAATCTTTCTCCGTGACACAACTGCCTTCAGGAGAATAAGCTTTGATAGCTTCCCCCCTCGCCACCAAGTAAAGCCATCATCATCAGAACCTTTGATAGGAACTTCCGCCAGGTTCCGTTGCCTTCTTCGGCCTGGTCCACGTTTCTGTGTGGCCCCAAAAGCAAATGGGGCACTTTGAAAAATAGAATGTTCTATCAACCAGTCATCCACGAGTTTAGGCCAATCGCTTAGCAGAGCGATAGTGCTTATATTTTCCTCAAGCTGCAACAAAGAGAATGGAACCATAAAGCACCATTGAGAACAAGATAAATATAGCACTGAAATTCAACGTACTAATATGTCATTCATATTGTGGACAACATGCAAATCAACCATGTGATGACTAGACAGAAAGGAAAAAAAAGGATAACAAAGTGGAAAAAGTTCAAAATAAGAAAAAGAAACTCACTTCAAGCAGAAGTGCTTTCATGGCTTTGCACGTTGAGGCTACCTCTACTTGCTTACGCCACTGTTCCCTGTGACTCCCACTGAGAAATGGCCCAGCAATGAGACCACGTAAGCTTTCCTCCAGGTATAAAACATAAGCAGCAATGCTAGAAAGACTGCCCTCCCTGTTCTTTAAAGGGAAAAGTCCACTGAAGGTCTTTGTAGCACTCTTAGTGGCACCTGTTACAGCTGCATTTAGCATGCACCCTTTCCTGCTAGCGGATGTGAGTTTGCAAAAATGACACCAACCACACCTTTCCCTAGCAATGTCCTTCTTCTCGGGACTTGGCCAGAAAAAACGCGAGGCTACTAATGAGAATGCTTTCGCTTGCAGCAAAATGTTACTTGATGCTGCTTTCCTAGCATTACTATACTTGTGAAGGTCAGCTTCATGGGATTCCTCTGATGACAGGACAGCCAAAGTAGCACCAGCCGAGGCAGCTAATTCTCCATTTGCATAATGATTAATGTACAAGTAAGATTTAAAAGATGAACCCATGTATGCAACACCAGCAACTAAATTCTTCTCTTGCATTCCACTTGATGCTCCAACAAAAGTGCCACCAGTGTTGCCTGAAATGCATGTAGGAAGGCCAGTCGCATTCTGGACACCACCTCCACCGACGATACTTGCACTATCGGGCTTATCCATGTCTGACACCTCACCATCCCCTTCTTTCTTCATTTGGGCTAAATCAGCCTCCAGAGCTCTTAGATAAGACATGACACATCCAGGCAGATTCCAGCAATGAGCGATCGCTTTGCATATATCCGCATAAACAGGTCGATGGGTTGTTGCGGAAAGAAGCAAGAGTACAACTTTTGGAATATCATTGGCGGTGTAATATTTGACAAATGCTTCTGCATTCATAGAAGTTTTCAGCCTGCAATTTAAAATGTTAGTTATAACCCATGAAAGGAGAAGTGTATCAGCATCAACAAGTTTACCCAAGCAATTCAGATATTCCAACTTTAAGGCCATATTCTTGCAAAAAAAAATGGTGGATCGAAAGTGTAGACATGTCTAAGATGAGAAATTACTGGGAAAATCTAAACCCAAAACAATCAATGGTTTACAAGAAGGACCAATATAGCAGAGGGACATAATATTGAGAGATCAAAGAATCACGTTGCAGGAAAAAGGATATCTAAAAAAGGCATCGAAAACATACACCAGTAAGTGATTGCAAGTACCCAAGAAGAGGTGCCCCTGCGGATCCATTCCAAAAAGTACAGCTCCTCTTAGTGACGTTTCATGAGCAATAATTGGCCCCATTTTGTTGATAGTACACTCAGGACAGTACCACGGCCCATCTGGTATGTACATTTTCACCACGCCTATGCATCTTGAATGATAAGCTGAGGGGCAACCATCACAACACAGCAAAGTCCCATCCATACCACACAGTCGGCATTCATCACTGTTTCCATCCAGATCTGAGCTAACTCCATTCGAATCACCTTCAGAAAATCTCAAACCCAAAGTTTTTGACTCGTTAAGTGAGTTCGTCCCATGGTTTACTGCAGCAATATCAATAACCTCTTTCTCCTTGCAAGCCGAGGTTTTAGCAAATCGGGGATGGACTCTTCTAGGTCCATTTTCTGGAAGATCAGCTGTAACTCCATCGGGATCAAATCCAACTTCAGATTCTTCACGACAATCAATTTCATTTCTTAACTCTGCTACATCAAAGACATCATCACACAGTATTTGTAGGATCCTCAACTTCATTCCAACAGGTAAGAAATAATACTCCTTTTCCACAACAAATTCATAAAAACTATTCCATTGAAGTTCGCTTGCATGTCCCATTGCCATAATGTACTGAATCAGATAAACAGGCCAAGTTAACGCATCAAGCAAGCTCCAATCAACACACCTGCAAATGGAAAAAGCAATAAAAAATTCTGAATGACTTTTAGTTATCTACTACAACATCCTAAAACAAGCTCATGTATAAGATGCGTCAAGAGGTTATTTTGCAGTGTCCTGAAAGCTAGGTACGCATGAATTTCTTCGTGGAGGCTATAGCAGGTTCACATGCATGCACCTGGAGAAGATTTGTGCGACTCTTGATTTTGAAAGGTGAAAAACTACCGAATTGCTAATCGAATTCCACCATCAATGATCAATCAGAAATGCAATATTCTTTGTAGTTCAGTTGCTCTACAAGTAATAAAGTACATAAATTTCCAAGGAACTAAAACAAAACAAAAAAACTCAATGACTCAGCAACCATAAAGCTTTTTAACTCCGCAGTCCACAAAGCAACCTATGATTCAAGAGAGGCATGTCTTTCAACAACCTTAAAAAAAATGATGTCTGCATTTACCTCAAGCACTTTGAAGCTAGTTCAGACCCGTCTGAAGAGAGTCTCTCTAGATGACGCTTCAACACCCGCAAAAGAGAAACGTGAATGGCATCAAGTAGAGAATTTGGTCCTGAGAAATTCAACGCTCCAACAAAATAGTCCAACCCAAACGGATAGAGATATAATTGAACACTGAATGACCTTAGGAACCCATACACAGATAAAAGGTGTGCCACAGACTCCTCGGGGACACCAAATGTTCCAGATGAAGGAGGAAAATCTATAGGGGGAAGGTAAGGAATCTCACTCTCAATAACTGGATCTTTACCGTCTCCATACTCTGAAGACTCGCTACAAGAGTCGTCACCATTTCCAAGTCCCACCGCGTCATCATCTACTTCTTGCCCACCACTTGGATTACCACCAGATGCAGATGCATCAACTCCATTTACTTGATTTTGCAGCTTAGCCCCTTTGCTTTTCAGGCTATTCAATTTCTTCTCATCCTTCTTCACTATGTGTTCATCTAGTTTGTTCTTTCTAGCACTTAGTTCTTCGTCAAAGTAACTCTCACCAATAATAAACTGTCGAAGTTCTCGACTTTCCAATGTCTCACAATCACCATCTTCATATTCTACTGTATAGAACCCAGTGTCGTAGGACACTATCTTCCCCAGAAAAACTCCATTATCATCAAAATCTTTCAACACATAACGACCAAGAAGCGAGATTGGAACCGATGGTTTCACCTCCAAAATCCGCCTCTTCCCCCGATTATCCGATTTCCCGTTAGACCCCGCATTATCACCCTCTGGTCTCGGGCGTTTCCTCGGCCTGCCCCTTGGTCTAGGCACTTTTGCTTCCATCGAGCCACCACTTCAAACGAGTTGAATCAACCCTAGAACCGGAATAACGTTACTCCCCTTCCAAAAAACCCCTAGGGTTCCAAAAAATGTGCCACTTCGCCAGAAAATCAAAGGATATTACTCCCAAATCGCAGCAAAATCTAAGATCCACGAGAATCCTGCGAATCAAAGCGAAAGACAAAAAATTGGCATCTCCGATCCAAAGAAAAAAGAAGAACACAGCTATAAATCTGAAAGAATACGCTTTAACAAGTAAAAGAGTAAATGAAATATCAACTCCGATGTGGATTAAGACATGGATGAGGAAGACGACAAACCATGCTAGGATCCGATAACCACCATTAACGACGTACTCGAGGGCTCTGGTGACGATAAGAGAGAGAACCGAGAGAGAGAAGAAAAGTGAGCCCTAATGGGGTATAGCGTATAGACTAGAGAGAGAGAGATGAACGGTATGCTGAGTTAGAATTCCAATGGCAGATATGTGGTTAGGGAACCGAGTTCGACTCGGCAATCGGGTTTCCGGGTCGGGACCCGAACAGTGAATTCATTTGATATTTTAGAATGAGCCGTCTTTTTTTTTTTTACATTGAGGAATAAATGTGCAAGAGGAATATTCTGATACGAAAGCCTCAACGTGGATCCTCGCCACGTGTCTTATTTCGATGGTGACTTTGCGGGGGCACTATTATTAAGTGAAAAAAAATACTTAAATACTATTTTTTTTTTTAAACCTTACATATTCATAATCATAAAAAAAAATTATAAATCACTGAAACGAAAAGAAACTGAGATAATCTCTCAAAACTTATACTTTTTTTATTACAACAATAGAATTGATGAAAAAAATATATTTTTTATTAATGTGTCTATGTATTTTTTTTTTAACTTAATGCAGTTAAAAATTAAATATCTATAGATAAATATCTTGCTTTATAATTATTATAAAGATTAAAAATGTAGAAAAAAAACTCCAGTTCTTAGAGAATCGTTAATATTGTCTTTAGGTCCATAATTCAAAATTCCCATCTTATATTCTAAAATTGTAATATTGTATAATCAAAATCAAACTATATAAAATATTTATTTAGATTTGTGTAGAATTCCAAATACTGCATATATTTATTTATGAACATTCTAACTTTTATAGGGATGATTAATATGTTTTCCATAGAAAAATTATTGATGGCATATTGGCTTTCACATATTAAACTGCATAGCATTATCTTTTTGATTTTTCATTGATATTATGTATAGAGAGAGGTTCATTGTAAGTTCTAAAAAATTATAACAAAAAACTTAGTACTAGAAAAAAATATCGAACATATTGAGTTATATAAATAATTTATCAAATTTCAAATATTAAGAGTATATATTCGCTTTTATGGATTTTTATTACCTGATTATATCAAATTTAAATTAGAAAAAAAAAAAGTTGATGAAATGGACAATACTAGAGTTTGGACGTACAACATAAACGACCCAAATAAAACACATGACCGATGGTCTAACGACAACCAAACGAAATTCGTAGTATTTAATATTTCTAACCAAATTAATTAAAGCCAAGTATGGTATTATACAATTCAAAGGGGAAATTAAATAAACCACACACTAGAGCGGGAAAATTAATTGAGACCGAGTGAACTCGGGATCCGGGTCGGGTCAAATCGGCTGTTTAAATCCGTCCGCCGTTGGTATTTGACGATTCGTTGACTCACGAGTCACGACACGTTCCTACCAGACGGAGTGAATTGGAAATAAACTTGCTGTGACATTGGATACAAGTAACGAATTGGCGGGAAAATCACATAATTTACGCACAAAAAATAATAACAATAATAATATATTTATTTATATGCTATATCATTTTGAATTTCGCTGTTGTATCTCCCCCCGACCATGGTCTCCCATGCGATAAACAAAATTATCTATATCTATCTATCTATATATATATATATGCGTGTGCTAGAATTGATTTTACTTTCGTTTTTTAAATATTTATGTTAACGATATAGATTTTATTCTACATATATATATATATGCATAAAATATGTGATTTTGTTATTAGAACTTCGGTGCATAAAATGTCACGGGGAAAATGGACGTAGAGAAAAATGTATTCCTTTAGTTTAAATCTATTTTGATTTAACATCATATGCTTATTAAATATGTTAATGTTTTAATCTGTCATCTACCATGGGGTTTAGTAACGATATGAAGGGCTAAAGTCCAACGCCAGAGATTTATATTACTAATCAAACAAAATTTCAATTCAATTGTTGGGGTATTTATTTTGTTGGACGTTATGAATTCTATTATTACATTCTCTAATTATCTTTTTAATATATTAAATTAATTTAGATATTGTTCGTACGATTTACAAAAATGTACTCCATACATACTACTACGGTATTTCCCCATACGTTTTGTAAACTAAAGTATAAATTCTTTGATTTTTCTAAAATTAAATTAATTTCGATTAAATAGAAACTAAGAATTCGTTAGAAAAATAATTATTTTTTCAACGGAAAACCAAATCAATGAAAAAAATATTTTGAATTTAGTTCGGAATTTTTGTAAAATCTAAATAAACCGAATTCTAACTAAAAACCCAAATAACCGTGATCGAAAACCGGTATGTCCCCTGGAAATTTCCGGTTTAGATTGGGATGTGGTTCCGCAAATACGATTTCGGGTTACCGGATATAACAAAGCGGTTAATGGGCCGGGTTTTCGGTCCAAACAACCCGACCCTTTTCCGGATAATTTTTCATCTTCCTTCTCCAGGTCGAGGTCAGGCTCTACTCCTCCCGCCGCCGCAGTGGTGTAAGATCCATGCGATGAGTTCGGAGAAGGAGGAATCATCTTCTACGCGGCGGCGCTTGGCCTGCACGCCTTACTTCGACGCTCTCTATTTCTGCTACTGTACGTATTCTTCCGCTTTCGATCTCGTTCTCGTTGTCTGAATATGTTTCGTGATTTTTTTTTTGCCATCTTCTTCTTCTTCTGTAATCTATGGTTCTTGTTTCGATCTCGATGAAGCGACTTCGATTCTTCCTTAGACTTAACCGTATTATCCTCAAAATCAATTTCCAGCTGTTGCTCATTGTGGAATTTTGTCAGGTGATGCTAGTTAAGTTCATGATCAAGAGTTCGTAGGATTCGGTTTAACATCCATGTGTCCTTTTTTTCTGAAATATCATTGCTTTGGCTGTTCCTCTGAAATCATTTGGACAAACTGCGTCTCGTTGAAGGGATATCTATATGGTCAGCTTGATTGTTTGATTGCACGAAAACCCGTTGTTAGGAACACATCAGGGGAAATTTGGACTGAAATAATGACATGTTCCTGGTAATTCCACAGTTGAAACATCCTTTTTTTGTTTGTTCTTGAGTTGGGATTTGTGTGACTAGTGAAACATTTCTTCATCTGATCTGGGTTTTTGCTTAATACAAATGGGTGTGCTTGCCACAGTCTGCATACGGGTTTATTGGATTGGATTCGACATGTCGAATCCTACTTTCTGAAATGAAGACCGAAAGGGAGAAAAACCACAGATAGATGTTTAGAAGAATGAGTATCTTAATCTTATTCTCTGAGGTGTTTGTATTGTTGAGTTTTCTGTATATGATCTGGGCTTGTATCTTGGTCTATGGGTCCTGTGCTTTTTATGTTGTTATAGTCTCGTTAATGAGCATGGCCGAGATGGGGATATTGAGATAGGTGTGCGGACATATAAAGATGGACAGAATTAGAAATGAGGCTATTAGAGAGAAAATAGTAGTAATAGGTATAGAAAAAAGTTACGAGAGAGATGCTTATAATGGTTTGGACATGTATAACGTTACGATAGATGCATTGGTTAGAAAAGTGGAGAGTATAGGAACGATGCAAATAAAAAAGGAAGGGTTAGGCCTAGGCTTATTTGGGAACGTGTCATTAGGAATAATTTGGAATTGTTGTAAAATCTGAAGAGCTAACTCAAAACCGAAATGAGTGGAAACGAAGAATTTATGCGGTCGACCCCAAATAAAGTTGGTGTTGATGTTGATGTTGATGTATAGTCTCATTAAATCTGGCAATGTCTTCTGCCTTGTGAAACTTCTGAATACTTCTTTTTCAAAATAGCTTTAGAGCTTTCGGATACGAAATTTTGCTGGTATACTTCCTGGTTTCTGTTCTCTGTTCTGTTGCATCCCTCTTTTAAATGAAGTTTTGCAATATTAACTAAGATCGCCTCTTTGCAGCACCAGTTCACCAGATGCAGCAGTACTACCGGGTTGGAAAACTTGATGACTGCTTGCAGAAGTTCCATGATCTCTTTGATTGTCTATCATTGAAGACAAAAAGTGCTTCTGAAGTCGAGGTTTGTATTTCACTTCATACGACCTGATCTTACGCTAGGCTTTGGCCTTCTTAATTGCATGTGTGTGTGCCTATATATGTGTATCTGTGAGCTTTTCAACAAATGCAGAAAGTTTTGGAAGCTCGGGAAAAAGAGAAGAAACATATCTGGATTATGCGGACACGGGAAGAAGCTGTAAGTCACTGGAATAAGACCTTTGGGCATTTGGATGATCCAAATAGATAGATGGATAGGTTTCACGCCTCTTGCCTTCATTTTTCGGGATCTCGGGCCATGTTATATCGTAGAAACCGGGTTTCAACTTGGAGATTCTGGTGATTATTCCACCGGATATAATTTCCGTGCAGGGAAAAAATTGTTTTCGTACTTTGTCACGAACGATTTGCTAACTTGCATTGCTGGTATATCAGCAAAGAAGGGAACATGAACATCTAGTGATGAAAGGATGTTCCAAGAAATAATTTCTTGAACTTTGGCGTATTTTTGTCGATTTGGTAACCATAGGGATATCTTGGAGATCTTAAAACGCTGGGGGTCTAAATGAAAAATCTGTCAAAGAAAGGGGTCGATATATTATTGAGAGAAAAAAATTGGTATTGAAGGGTTTTCCTCTATGGTTTATTTCTCAAATATTTTGAAGTGCGGATGGGCCCAAAAAGTTATATTTAATCGCAAATATATTTATATAAAACTATTAAATATAAAAAATAAAAAATGGTATAAACAAAAAAAAAATAGTGCATGAAATGTGTATTATATATGTAAAATTAATAGGTTGTTTGCGAATTGGCCAATTTATTTTATGGTTAAATTCTGTAGGATTCATCTCTAAGTATTTTCAAATAAATACAGCAAAGAGCATTAAAACTTTGTAAATCAATACACTAATTTAATATGTTATTATACCAACAAGGCAACAACCACAGCCATCATAATGTGGAGAGCATGGAGAAAGAGTAAAGTATTGATAAATATTCTATCATTATTTGAGAATTTTATTTACTGTCGCAATTTCATAAATTTATTATTTACGTCGAGATATGTATTTTAAAAATAATGTAATAAATAGGTAAATAATAATAATAATAAAAGGTAAATTATTCTAAGCATTAGGTAAAGGTTCGTGATGTGAATGACATTACAATGGGGAGTGGAATAGGTCGGGCTCACTGTTTGGGCCCACTAAACGAAATATAAACACTTTTGGATCACACTAGTTTCGGTTGAACCAATCCAAAAATAACTTTATCCCGCAACCAAACACCCCTAAAACTCCACGAAAAAATGTACAATTTAATTGAAAATTTAGAACGAGAATTATAATATCATAGTTTGGCGTTTTTTCCCGCTTCATGTGAAGTTGTTGAACTCGTACATAATATTATAGTTTGGTGTTTCGTAACCCGACAATTATAAAAAAATTTGAATTTACATATTATTATGTTTATGTAAATTTATTATATTATTATTATTATTATCGCATTACATATATTTAAACATTTTTTATTGGCGGGCAATTTATTGAAGATGATAAAAATGAAACATGAAGAAGGTAATTTAGGGACAAATACTAGAACAGGGAGGGAGCTTCTTGTCCCCGACTTGCTGTTTCTATTCATTCAAAGATATTATTATTACATTACAGGACATACAGATTTGTAGCCCATCTAGTTTATTTTTTTATTATTTAATGTGAAGGGTAATTTTTGGGATTTTAAAGTTTGCAATCGTGTAGTCCCATTATAATTTTTCTCAAGATTTGAAGGAGCTAGTAGAAAATTATGTTAATAAAAAAAAAGATTTTTTTTAAAGTGTAATTGTTCGAAGCTCGACTTTCATCATTATGCAATTCGAGAATCTCGGGATCCAAATGTATTTTTTTATAAATAAAAAAAAAAAGAGAGGAAAGGAAACATGGATCTTTGTAGTTTTTTCTCTCTCTTTGATAAAGTAGTAAGCAATTTAATTAATTACATAAAAATATCTTTGTTTATTAGTGAAAAAAAGCCCTCAAACTATAACACTAATCAAGCCCTTGAATGGAGGAGCTAAAGAAAATAAGTATAAAGAATTTTGCAACAGTTTTAAAATATATTTAGCCACCAAAAGAGGAAGAAAAATCTTTTCAAAAGAAGCCAATTTGATTTAATTATATATTAGAAAAAAGCTAATCCATATATATATATATATATATACACACAAAAATCAATGGTCAAGATGATGGTGGTGGTAGTTTTTATGTCTTTAATTTTTCCAAGCAGATATGTTTATTTTTTTGTAAATTCGATCAATTTGAATAAAGTTTATTGAAAAACAAAATTCAATCGTCAAAAGTATAACATATATTATAGAAATAAATAAATAAAAACTTAATATAGAAGAAGGTGGTACGTAAGAAAGATGATAAGAAAGGCATCTTACCCCCACCAGGCCACAAAATCTGACAAAAGAATTATATCACAAAAAAAAATTACAAGGACTAAACTTTATTAAAATTTTATTTTTTATATAAATCTGCTGAGTAAAACTACTTAATTATTAGATGGTGTATCAAGATCATGTGGCTGTTAGCAAATAATTAAATCTTTGGGACTGTTATCTTATCGATATTATTTTTATTTTTTATTCAATTAGATTTAATATTTTATTTCCGAACAATTTTTTATATAAAATATGTTTATATCATCTATTAAAAACTTAAAAGATTATTTTTTGAATTTTAATAAGAGTTTCTCTTTATATGTGTATGCATATTACATTTTAATAATAGTGTTAACATAGTTTATAATCAAATTATGGTATATATACTTGATATTTCATTGAGAAATAGTCGAAGCAATTCGACATATATATATATAACACACTTTATAAAAGTTTCATTGGTGATTTTAATTTTTTATTACAATTAAACTATTATCCATCATTTTTTTTGCAATATTTATTTATTTAACTTTTATACCATTTCAATTTTCATTGCCTACTAAAATATTTATGTGGCTATTTGACATTTGAAAAAGGAAACAAACTATATAATATAAATATTGTCATCAAATAAAAACGAAAACCTGTGAGGAATTAGCTTTTGCCGGTCCAATAGAAAAAATAAACTATTATTTAGCTTGTTTTCTTTATATATATATATATACACACACACACACACACTCTCTTACAATGAATGAATTACTGTTATGTTTATAACTATTATGCATTTTATCTTGGTTAACATATTTTTTCATGTGACAAAATAAAAATAATATACACGTAAACTGCAATTAAAGATTATAACTATATAGTATACACATATATATATATACACACACATTTTAATTTCTACCAAGAATTCAGAGTGCGAGCGACAGACATGTGCCCTTGCATTGAGGACCTTTTGGACCGTATTGAAAATGTTGCGATGTTTCAAACAGACATAATTATGAATTTGTGGATGGTGCAGTTTCCAACACCATTCCGACGTTTAGGGTTTAGATATTTAAAATGGCATCAAATTAAGTATAATATGTCTTGAAAATAATTATAATTATCTTTCAGTAAAAAACTATATTTCAAATCAAATCTAAAAACCGAATAAATTTATTTTTTAACGAAAAAATCAAATCTGAAAATACCTAAATTAAAATTCAAAATATATAACCCTAAACTCGAATAAATATTAATAAATGCCTGACCAATATTAATATATACACAAACTTATGTGTGTGTGTGTGTATATATATATAAGGATTGTTATGTTAAAATATAACCAAAGGCGCCTTGAAGTTTCATATCATTAATGATGATCCACATGATTAAAACCGTTATTATTTGTAATAAAACTTTTCTAACTGAATTTACGCATATTATATATACATATATACATATATATATATATATATGTTAACAGTGTTTCGCATTTTTTTTTCAAAAGTCAGTCCAAAGTTCCGGCTACGCCATTAGGAGTTTAGAGACTTTTGAGGAGTTTAGTTTCTATATCCATATAAATACGTTTTAGGGATCCAAGCGTAAATGTTCTCTCGAATATTTCGTTAATAAAACAACCAATGCGTTATATCAATGTGATATCCGACAAATTCAAAAAATGTCAAATCTCTTATTCATGAGTTGAATATCGATCATATTTTTTATATTTTTTTTTTGAAAATGAGGCTTTATTATATAAAAAAATACCAATTCCTTGTTGTTTCTCTCTTTTATATACAAAAGTTCATGCAACGCCCATCCGTAGTAAGACAACATTTTTTTTATTGCACGTTACGCCGATTGTTTTCTACTAAAACAATATTTTATGAGTTATTATATTTTTCAGTTGGGTCTCGTGAGCAGAAGAATGAAAAATGTGTATATGTTATAAAATAAATTATTTATGTAAAATTATAGTTATATCATAAGATAAGATGAGTAAATGAAATAAAATAAAATGGTAAAAATAAAATAAATAACGGGCCGGGGAAAGGGGCGGTAGACGAAGACTCGCATCTTTGTGCCGAAACTGTGGCATTGTATGCGGAGCGATTGATTACAATGGCAACAAAAAAAATGTCAAAAGGCCGCCTTGCTTCTTTTTTTTTTGTCTTCACTTAGAACATGACTAATTAATTTAACATTTTTAAGTTAAATTAATTGAATGTGTGAATATAAAAGTAATTAAAATTTTAAAATAAAAATAAAAATAAATACTTTTCAAAAATAAATTAAAATGAATAAATATAATATATTTTTAACTACAAATTTAAAATACATATAATATAATATATATTATATAACCAACCTTTCATAAAATTATCAACTTGTATGTTTCATGTATAGAAAAGTGTTAAATTGGTTTTCCTATTTTTTACCGTATGTATGAAGGAAAATATATAATATCGAGGGATAAAAAATAAAATATTACAAAGGAAAATACATCCAAATGAGTTATCACACCCTTCCTGATACAAAACCAAGTTGATGCGTATAAATATAATTAAATGATTTTCAATTAATGTGTCTCACTTACGTATATACCACCAATTTAATGTGTAATGGGAGTCTATAATCAATTTATTTTTTAACAACCGACAATATCCAAAGACAACAGGCGAGGCAATAAGCCGTAATTAAGTAAATATTAATTGTGTCCTTTAAAAGACGAATAATTAATTATGTATTTTTAACTTGTTTTTGTGAAAACAGTTGAATAATCACCTGAAAGTGAAAGTCGAACGATAGAGAATATTGATAACATTTTACAATATATATTTTGGTCAGCAATATACCCATATATATATAGATATATAATTATATATAACAAATAACCTCGCACTCAAAAAATAAAAATTCAATGCGTGTAGAATATTTAACAATTGAAACAAAGTAAACTGGGTGATTTAAATTGAAGTGATTTTTTTTTACCATGAGTTCTATGAATACAAAATTCAACTTTGGTAGATTTGCTGATGAACAAAATTGGACACAAGGCAAAAGAGGTTGCGGTTATTTACTGTTTCAAAGGCAGTAGCAGACGGTATATGCCTTAACAAACAGAGTAACATTTTGTAAAATTTACTCATTTTGTTACAAAAAATAATCAATTCACCATTATGCATACCTTTCTGTATTTACTTATTAATGGAAATTAACTACGGCAAAAGTGACTCTCCTTATAGAAAAGCTGTAAAACCCCTTGTCTAGAAATGGTAAAAAAACAGATCAAAGTTGCTAATCATTGACCCTTTAAGTAAAAGAGTCACATCAGAATTTGCCAATACAAAGAAGATAAATCTCTCTCTCTCTCTCTCTCTCTCTCTCTCTCTCTCTCTCTCTCTATGTTGCAAAATTTCACCATTTTGAAGAACAACTCAATATAAAGAGAAGACATTGGTGGGCACAGAGGGTAAGAACGCGAGAAACTAGAGGGAGAGAGAGAGCAGTCTTTTACCAAAACAGAAACTCACAGAGCAAATCTCACTGATATTTCTTTTTAACTTTTACCTATTTCCATATAAACCCCAAAAAGAAGGAAAATAATTTATATGAGAGATAAAGGTAAAAAAATAACCATTTATATTTTCCCTGAAACCTCCCCTCGTTATCTTCCAAACCCACATTTCTCCTCCCCTCTCTCTTCCGCCATTTTCTCTCTCTCTCACAGTAGAGAGAGAAAGCCACCATCTTTCGCAGCATCTCCCTCAGTTGTCTCTCTCTCTCTCTCGCTAGCCCATCACAGAGAGAGAACAGAAGCATCTTATCTTTTTGAGCGGAAAGAAAAAAAAAACAAAATCAACCCTCATTGTAGTATTCTAGAGAGAGAAAGCAGCCATTGTCACTCTGCAACCCTGCAACAGAGAGAGAGAGAGAAAGAGAGAGAGGGAGGGAGAGTACCCATTTCATCTCGCATTCTAGAGAGAGAAAATGGAATCCGTCTCGCCGAAGTTTGTGTTGCCGGAGACATTCGACGGCGTGAAATCGGAGATCACGGGACAGCTTGGGATGATCTGGGAGCTCGTAAAGGCTCCGGTTATAGTCCCTCTGCTTCGTTTAGCGGTTTATCTGTGTTTGGCAATGTCTCTCATGCTCTTCTTCGAGAGGCTTTACATGGGTGTCGTCATCATCCTCGTCAAGCTCTTTTGGAAAAAGCCCGAGAAACGCTACAAGTTCGAGCCAATTCAGGAAGACGAAGAGCTCGGGAACTCGAATTTTCCGGTGGTTCTTGTCCAAATCCCCATGTTCAACGAGCGAGAGGTCTCTCTGTTAAACATATCCCGGAAATTTTTACTTTTTACTCTTCTTACCCAGAAGTTTTCGTTTGGATCAAAACACCCCTCGAAATTCGAGTAAATCTCACTTTGTTTGTCTCGTTTTCTCCATCATCTTGCATCGCCAATCCCGAAACCAAAACCCTCATTCCCTTTTTGTTTTGTTCTCTTTCTCTTGTTTAATGCAGAATCAAAGCTTTCGTCCGTGTAGAAAGTCTTTACTGAATTTTGTGTTCTTATTGTTAACGTCGATAGTTTGGGGCTCAAATGTTGTTCATTCTAATTATTGGGGGCGTAATTACAAATTGGCGTTTCTTTGGTTAATGCAGGTATACAAGCTGTCGATAGGAGCGGCTTGTGGGCTATCGTGGCCGTCGGATCGTCTTGTGATTCAGGTTTTGGATGATTCAACGGATCCCACGGTTAAGGTAAATAAATATAATACTTTTACATCTCTACAAATATATATATATATATATATATGGATAATAAGTTTATATAAATAATAGTCAAATCATATATAATATTCCAATCTTTAAGATATCTATCATAATTAATTTAAACGTACATTTTTTATTATTTTAAAATTTATGAGATATTCATATTCCCTTCTTGGGCATTGTAAGTCCTAGCTGTGCTTTGGTACATGACATTTAAAAGCTAAAACCTCAATTAAATTGAAATGTCGGTATATGCTTACAAAACGATGAATTCGTACACTTGGACCCAATGATAATTAAGCCCCTAAAATTACAAAAATGCCACCCACTTGTGTGCGAGTAAATTATTATTCTTACGAGATTGTTGGTCATTTTAGTTTCGTTGACAAGGGAATCCGAACCAACTAAAATAATATAAGCAAAAATCCGATTTAATTATGATCTTCCTAAATCGGAAGAAAAATAATAAAAAACATTAATTGTAAAATGTGTATTTTTTTCTGATTTTATTATTGGAAATTAAATGTAGCAAATGGTGGAAATGGAGTGCCAGAGATGGGCGAGCAAAGGGCTAAACATAAGGTATCAGATAAGAGAGAACAGAGTTGGGTACAAAGCCGGCGCGCTGAAGGAAGGCCTGAAACGGAGTTACGTCAAACACTCCGAATACGTCGTCATCTTCGACGCAGATTTCCAGCCCGAACCCGATTTTCTCCGTCGCAGCATCCCTTTCCTCGTCCACAACCCCGACATTGCCCTCGTCCAAGCCCGTTGGCGTTTCGGTAACCCTTTTCTATTCAAACGTTTTTTTATGGTCATGCCATTGTATATATATGGATATCCGGCTACATGATAACGCCTCTATGGCGGCATTAGTAGTACATAGTAGTGTTCAAAGAATGGAAATGGATGGGGATGCGGTCAAACCGGTCTAGGGTTATAATAATGGTAATGGGATTTGGTTTTATAAAAGAACACTGACGTGTAATTTGGGTGTCTCGAGTCTGATATCGTGTTCTGTTGTTTTGTTGGCATCTTTAATGAGCTCGTGGTTTTGTTGCAGTTGCATTAGTGGTGTCGGTGGTATATTGCCTTTCAAATTATTTATTTATTTTTTTCCGTTTTTATTGGGTATTTATATTTCCCCATTTTCACTTTTTTAGCCTTTTTTTTCCTCGCGCTTGCTTTTTTTTTTTGGTATCAATTTGGTATTCTTTGCTTTATTTTCCGTCTTTTTTTATTTTTATTCAATTGAATGATTGAACGAGTAGGGTTTAGTTCTGTTTGTGTCGGCGGAGTAGCTGCATGGGTCTGGCCAATAATAATTGGACACGTGTCAAAATTTGTCCTTTCCCCACACTTGGGATTAGGTTAACACTCACCCCCCACTTCACGCAGTGGTTAGATACGCTGGTAACTTTGATGGATTGGTTAAGTTGACGACCTCTGGTCAACGGGAACTCAAATTACCGTAATGTCCTTAATGGAATTTATAGGGACTAGAGCAAATACGTAGTTTTGTGCTGGTAAGGGTAGCATCGTAAGTTTGACATTGTCGGAGTGACTTGACCTCTGCACGTGCCGTTTTAAAAGCTTGAGAATGGGCCCACGTGTCAGAGATCAAATGTTAGACTACATCAAGAGTACGGGCCTTATGATGGACCTTCCTCTCTCCTGCCGACACATGTTACTATTCATACACTATAGTATTCGGTAGAAATAATCTGTTTCCGAGTTCGGATATATTGTTTTTATATAAGGGTTTTTTTTTTGTCTTTATGTTTAAAGATAACTTCAAAAGGTATTCAAATATATATATACATAACTGTATGTATTATTATTGAGGCTAAAAACAAAAGAGAATGCCGTTACTTTGGACGGTACCACTTTTTTTCCCTCTAATTTGCATATATTTATTTTAAACAATTATGTATATTTCGCATGAGTATTATATATATATATATATAATTATATAATTGTTGAAGTTGAAGTTGAAGAGTATTTTATTTTTACATCAGTGAATGCGGATGAATGCTTATTGACGAGGATGCAAGAGATGTCACTTGACTACCATTTCACCGTGGAGCAAGAGGTCGGATCTTCAACTCATGCCTTCTTCGGCTTCAACGGTAAAAACAATAAATCTAATATCATTTTTTTCAAAATATTTTATAATTGAATCTGTAAATGATATTTCTGATATCTTTTTATGAGAAACGACGGTCCTGCCAAATTGAAATAGAGTGATGTTGGTCCTAATTTAATTTAATTTAATTTTAAATTCTTACACAACGAAGTAAATATTAGACATCATAGTTTAAAATTTTCACGAACAAATAATATTTTTTTTATATAGATTATGTTAGAAGCAAAGAATTCGTATCCAATTATAGTTACGAATACGATACTTGTGAATTTGTGGTACCACATTTTATAAATTTTCTTGGACCTCATCATATATAACTTGAGGAGGAAGTAAACGTGACGAATCTTAAATTGTAAGAAAATTTTCGAAATCGATGATTAATTTTTTTTTTGGGTTATGTGAAATAAAATGATGAAGGGACGGCGGGAATATGGAGAATTGCGGCGATAAACGACGCCGGAGGGTGGAAGGACAGAACCACGGTGGAAGACATGGATCTCGCTGTCCGTGCCAGTCTCCGCGGCTGGAAATTTCTCTACCTTGGGGATCTTCAGGTACTTTTTTTAAAAAAAAAATAAAAAAAATAATAACCCTGTTATTAATCTCCCAAAATCCAGAACATCTAGAGTTCATTAGCGTGTAGATCCTTGGGATTTCTGTTATATTTCGTTTCGATTATTTCCGAGTTCAATTTTATAAAATATCATCATCAAGTGTCTTTTTTTTAATGAAAATATTTTTTAAAAAAATGTGACCGATATTAATTAATTTAATTTAGTAAAATACACAAAAAAATTGTAATAATATTTGTTGCTATGTATAATGATGAATACATACATATGCAGGTGAGAAGCGAGCTCCCAAGTACATTCAGAGCCTTCCGTTTCCAGCAACACAGGTGGTCATGTGGGCCTGCCAATCTCTTCAGGAAAATGGTCATGGAGATCATCTCTAACAAGGTTCCACCCAATAATATTTATTTTAAAAATAAAAAAAATAATTCATGAACTCTCCCTTACCAAAATTGGTTAGGAATTCTCCTAACTCGATTGGAAAATGACAAATCCTCTTTACACGAGGTTGTGGGTTTGATTTCTTTTGCGGTCTGAACTTCCCCTTGAGTCGGTCAGTTTCGGCTGGTTTATCTGTTTCACGTGGTTTACCGGCTATCGCATAGAGCCGAGGGTTTACTGTCTGAGATGTCGTCTGATCCACGGGATCGGTGTTCGGCTCGAAGGGCTGTGCGATGGTTCCCTACCGTTACCAAAAAATTTGGCTGCCTATTGATTCAAAAGCTACTGAAAATGGGCATTTTTTGTGTGTGTATATTGTCTACATATCCATTTCGTTTCTGGGTTTTTTGTATTTGTTTTTATTGTTTCGAAGTTCATGGATCGAACGTGAATTTGACCAAGTGTTTTCCGCCATTCTTGTTTGACGTGGTGGCGGTGCAGAGAGTGAAGTTCTGGAAGAAGGTGTACGTGATCTACAGCTTTTTCTTCGTCCGGAAGATCATAGCCCATTGGGTAACGTTCTGCTTCTACTGCGTCGTTCTTCCTCTCACCATTCTCGTCCCCGAAGTCCAAGTCCCCATCTGGGGCTCTGTCTACATTCCTTCCATCATCACCATCCTCAACTCCGTCGGCACCCCCAGGTAGATCCTCATCTTCATTACTTCTCCCTCGTTTTTCTATATCCTATCTGTAAATATTCTCCCTAAATACGCATTACTTGGATTCTACATGTTATAAGCTTAAGAAAGGATGTAAAAATCTGTCGGATTAGGTTAAATATAGGGATCGGATTTTGGTTGCTTCTAGCACAAGTAACTGGAACTGAGAGAGGTTCTATTGTTTTCTTCTTCCTTTCCATGCAAACTGGTTCTCCCCTCGTCGTCTTTCGTGTTCTTCTGCTCTTTCTTTTTTTGCGAATGGAGAATTTGTTACCTGCCGACAAATGTGAGAGCGAGCCTCATCTGGTTCAGATTGTGAAATCTGATAGCTTTTTTTTTTTTTTGTTAATTTCCTTTTGCGACGGAATTTTCAGGTCGATTCATCTGCTGTTCTACTGGATTCTATTCGAGAATGTGATGTCGCTGCACCGAACAAAAGCGTCTCTCATCGGGCTGCTCGAGGCAGGGAGGGCTAACGAATGGGTCGTGACGGCTAAGCTTGGCAGTGGCGTGGGTTCCAAGGCAGCTAATGCCAAAGGAGCTAAGAAGCTTATCCGATTCTTCAAGTTACCCGACAGGTCAATAAACCTCTTTCTACTTCAATCTCCGAATCTTCATGATGTTACAAAATCCAAGAAAAGAAACAGAAATCATGCATGCCATGCATATATATGTACATGTATGTGTATATATGTATAAGGTGCTTGATGATTGTGTTTATGGAACAGATTGAACACACTGGAGCTGGGGTTCGCTGCGTTCTTGTTCACATGCGGATGCTATGATTTCGTCCATGGGAAGAACAGCTACTACGTGTACCTGTTTCTTCAGACAGCATCGTACTTCATCACGGGATTTGGATGGATCGGCACTTACGTCCCCAACTCTTAGTATGGGTTTCGGATTGAGAAGGCGGTTTCCGAGGACGACAACGGTTATTCAAAATATAGATAAAGTATATGAAGGGGATTTTCATGGAAAACCAAGAGGGAAAACAACGGAGAAAGATTCAAGATTGACAGGAAACAGACGAGGAGAAAGAGGAAGAAGAGGGGCTTGTTGGGTTTTTTATTCACTTGTTTTTCTTTTTTGAAACTTTTGGCTTGTGATCGTGAGGGTTTTCAAAAACTTTGTAATGCTTTTGGGGTTTGAAATTTGTTTAGCTTTGGGTTTCGGTTTAGGGTTTGTGGATTTAGGGTTTAGGCAATAAATGTTCGATTGATGCAAAGGTGGTCGAACACGAAGTTGTAACCCTATAGTCCATACATAGTTCGATTTACATCTATATTTTGAGTATTTTAATTCGTATTTTATAGTCTGATTATTCGACAAAAGGATAAGTTATACTTATAGTAACAATTTCATGACGAGAGGAAATATTTAATGTTTTCATATTCTTATAGATACACATGCACACATCATAATTTAAGACTTTTTTTTTTCTTAATTATCAAACAAGAATACCCGTGATCTATTATCAGTTAGGATTATATTTATCCTTCTAACGAGACAATATTACTACCATATTATTTGACAGAACATATTATTTCAATAACGTAAAAATACGATAAACGGGTAAAAAGTAGAAAAATAAATGAATAAATAAATCCGAAGGTAAAATTTGTTTTTGCATGATGAGCCAAAATTCGACGTAAATAATGGGATAGAATGTTGCTCCGACAAAACAACACAAAGGACCGTCACGTCTGGCATTGAAGCCGCTTCTTCACTTGGCAGCATGCTTGGCCTTGTCGTGCGACTGAAGTGCATTGTCCGAGTTAAACGACCTGTTCACACCATCATAACGATCATATATATATATACATGTACACATACACCCATATATACTCTACTCATTCACAATTCTCCTTTTGTTATTGATGGTTGATAGATTTCACTTACTTCTTGCAAGAACCGCATGAGAACTGTCCACCGGATTTCGATCCATTAGCCGGTGTCTTCTTCCCACCCTTCTTCTCTTCTGCACCCATCCCTGGTCGAGTATCATGAACACAGGACTCAAACCCTAGGAAAAAAAACACAGAAAGGACTCTAACCTATCTTCTTCTGGGGAGTAGAAGCATCTGCCTTCGCCTTCTTTGACGGGACAGGTGTTTTGGGAGCAGACTCATTCACCCTCTTCTTGGTCGGTGCAGCCTTTTCGTGAGCAGAATCAAAGTGACATGTATTTATCATCTTTCATATAAGAGATATAAGCATTACAAAGTTGTACTTTGAGAGGACTGTGTGTGTGTGTGTGTGTGTATATACCTTCTCAGGCGTCTCCACGACTTTATCCTCTGACTCTGAGTCATCCGAATCATCAAGACCCATCTGTAGGGGGATAGAATTCATCAGTAACATCTCTTAAAGATCAAACAGTCTTCCCATTAATTATCATCATCCTTGAATGGGTCTTAGCAAATTCACACAACAGCAAATGACAAAAGAACCTCACCCCTTCTTCCTCGGATTCATCATCTTCATCAGAGTCGTCATCCTTTGATGCAAGCTTCTCAACCTTTTTCACTTCTGCGGCCTTGGCCTTGGCCTTTGGTTTCACTTCTGCTGCCTTGGCATTCCCTACAGCTGCTCCAGGTTTTCCTGAGAGGTGAATGAAGATAACATATCAAAATACACAGACAACTGTATTCGTTAGCAAATCAATCTGGCAGAGAAAGAGCACATACCATTCTCAGTTACAGATGCAGGGACCTCCTCCCCATCTGATCCTTCTGAGTCTGTGAATTCAGTCAAGACTCGTCAGCAACCAGATCAACACTCAAGGAGAGAGCGAGGGTAAATACAAAACTCAAGAAAACTGTTTGTTTAGACTCACCAGAATAAAATCCCTCCTCATCTGTGCCAACAAGAACCAGCAAGAGTTAAGGAGACAACAGAAACACCCAACATGATCAAAGAGACTGGTTCTGTTATCCTTACCTGAGAACCACATACTTGAATTTAGACTAACACGGGACCCGAAAAGTCAAAACAAAGTCGACACCCACACAAAACAGAGAGTTTCCAAGGATATTGTCCCTCAAAGTTTGGGGATTTGTAGCCCATGAAGTAGACACTCCCATGCTTCCAGTTGTGAGAAAGTTCAAACTCTTTCTCAAAGGCCAAATCACAGCTAATCTGAGGGAAGTTCCCTTGGGAAAGGGTTCCCATAACAAGTTTCTGGTCACCCACTTTCACAAACAAGGGCACAGATTCTGCCCCCTTTTTGTCTTTGGCCTCACCGAGAGAGGCCTGCAATATAGAACACATTAGGAGTGTTCAGCTGAAATCTCAGAGAAGTTGCTCCTACGCATTTGATACTAACCTGAGAGATGTGGATAAGGGCATCCTCATCAGGGTTTACTTTCACAGGCTTCCCAGCTTTGACTTCCACTCCTAATTGCATTATAAACGACAATCAAACATGATTAACGACAGTATATTAACACTTGAAATGTATTGAAGGAAACTGATATACACCAAATCTCCCACTCTCAGCACATAAAAACATACTTTGGAAATCGTAAAGATTATAGTTCAAACCCTATAGGACCCATCAAAACGATGGAACAGACGATATATATAGCAAGAAACAGCATCAAATGCTGCAACACAAACAAAGCAAATACCAAAAGAATCAGAAGTCGTATAAAATCAGAGACGGATGGCAGGAATTGAACTCTTTCTGAGTTTGGAGCATATAATCGAAACTCGGAAAGCAGAAGAACCCATCATGAGATGATGATGGTGATGATGACAAGTGATTGGAGGGAGCAGAACTTAAAATGGAAGGTGTATCTCACAAAATCGATCTTTGAGTATGAACCCAGAAAACAAAAAGGAAGAAAACCGAAGCAATGACAGCCGATGATGTAACAAAACCGCGATTCCCGGTTAAGTAAACAACGAGGAAAACCCCCCGAAGTTTCGACCATTTGCATATCAATTTGCGAAAACTGAGACTGATACCGAAACGAAAACAAGTAGAAAGAGAGAAGACTCTTACCCCAGAACTCCATAACTGAGAATCGGGAACAAAGGAAACGGGAAGTTAGAGAAATGAGTTAAGGGATTTTCCTAAGAGATGGAAGACGGTGAAAGAGGCTAATAAGCGTGGGGTTTTAGGGCAATTTATGAGCAAGAGGGGTTTTAGAAGAGCCTGACCACTACGGCGTCGTTTAACGATGGAAGCAAAACCCTGTATAGACCAATGTACGTATATAATCAACCATATACATATATGATATATCATATATACATGAGTAAAATTAATTATTTTCCATTTTAAGATTTTTTGCACACAAGTAAAATTAATTACTTTCCATTTCAAGATTCCTGCAAAATTATTCCAATTACGGTTATCCTATTTTGATATGTTTAGATTACTCATACATTTACGAATTTCAAAATTGGAACATCATTTTTATTTTGTAATTGAAATAAATACCATCAAACGAGGGAAGAGAGGGGATTCCGTATGATCAAAAAATGGCTGGAAAATCTATATTCGAAATTTGCCCCATTATTTTTGTAAACTTTCAAAATTGACCCATTACTTGTTCTAACAACTACGAGCCCCATCTTCTGAGATTTTCACTGCAATAAATAATGCCATTAATAAAAAAAAAAAAACTTAGAAGACAATGTGTTGCTTCTGCAGATTCATATTTCCGGCAGAGCAAATGGCAGTCGGCACATTATGAACAATATTCTCCATATTCTATAATTCGCATTCACATTTGGTTAAATATAAAATTTATGGGGAGGGGCGAGGAATTTAAAAAAAAATGAAAAAAAAACTTAAGACAAACCAGACATCATCAGGAGTGCCCTGGAAAAAGAAAATAAATTGGAAGCTGTTTGGCAGCCGAGAAAATGAGGGAAAATCACTGCAGAAAATCAACAGAGATTTGTGTATGGCCCCTAGTTTCAAAAAATAGAAAAAAAAATGCTGATTCGGAAAACAAAAAACCCAGCCCTCAGAAGCGGCGTGCAGAAACAGAGGTACCACCGCTGTTTGGCTGCCGAGAAAACGAGAGAAAATTCTTCACCGAGAAAATGGCGATGGGGGAAGAAAGTAGAAAAAAATTTGGACCATTTCTCGATTTATGCGTGTCATCCTTGCGCAGGGGCCATGCTAATCTTCTCTGTATCGTTCCAATTTTATCAGATGTCCCCGAAGGGACAAACATTGACTTTCACTCTTTCTCTTAATAAACAAAATGATGATACTCTTTATCTTCGATGTGGGACTCTCTTGCGACACGTGGCCCAAAAAGATATTTTTTCCTTGTGAAGCGGACCCTTGAATAGGCCCAAACGTTCTACGAATACTCGAATCCATGGCATATTTAATTGTTATTGGGCTAAAGCCCAAACAATTCTTCGATAACTAATATATTTTATAGCATGTACAATAATTATAATCACCATTTTAATGTATATACTTAGATTAGATAACCGATATCATATGATTCATTTTTGTTATGGAGTTTTCAATTCAAAGGCCTGCATCCCGTATATATCTTTTTCATATTCACCATTTCCAAAATGCGTAATCATATTACCGTGTTTTCGAGTCGTATAATAATTATTCGTTCACCTTTTTTCCATGTAAAACAATTTGTGCTTTTGTCGTGTATTTGGACACAAGAGACAGAAGCGTTGGAGTTAGGGTTTATTTCCTCAAGGGCATATATTCCCTTCGGGTTTTGCATGCGTTTAGTTAATTGTCTAAAGGGCAAAGCACAAACACAGTGGATACCAAAGTGTATCCACTTCTATATATACATATATATATGATTTGATAATTTGTGTGTATATATATATATACAGTGACACGTGTGTTTATATGTACCACAGAATCGATCATTACTGGCATGGTGGATCCTGATGCATGTTTGACTACTATGCACGAAGGAAGAGACAAATCAGAGGGCGAATGGAAAGCTGTGCCAACTAGCCATAACTCACATACTTAACATACATATATATATATATATATATATATATGCATGCCGATGCCGCTGTGTATATCTTTTAAGTAATGGCACATCTAGAATATATTTTTTTTTATTGGTACACGATAAAAAACTATAAAAAAAAATTTGAACTGATGAAAACTGAACAAAACAGAATTAAATTAATCAAATATAAAAATAATTAAAATTTTAAATAAACGAACCAATTCGAGATCCTATATAAAAATTTATTTGTAATGCGACGTTGTATACTATAGTATCCAAAACGGAATAAAGCAGAGGTCTAATTGAGAGAATTAAAAATATATAAACGTTTAAATATTTATCGTGTATATATATATGGTTGTAGTTCCCAACAGCTGCACGTGAATTTCCTTGTTTGGAGTGTACATGTCCTTCTAATCCTAACTATAGGTTTGGTCAATTGTATAAATTGGAACCAATAGTTAGTTCCAAACCATAAGTTTAAATATCGTAGAAGAGATTTGTTTTTTTTTGAAATAGTTTGCACATTTAGAAATTGAAAAATTTTCTATATCGTTTAGAAATATAAGAGTTTATATATATATATATGTATATTAAAAATTGAGAGTCACATTTCCATTAGCTCAACCAATCGTATTTTTTTTTGGTATAATAGTTTTGACCAAAACAAAAATGAAAAAAAAAACAAAAACAATAAATCAAAGTTAATTTAAACAAATTAAATAATAACCTCTATACCATTTTTTGTTGGTGCATGTTCCAAAGGCAATGTCTCAAAGATATGGACCGATGAAAAGTCGCTAATAAACTTGAAATAAAGCCACCCTAACCAGACAAAATTTGTCCTCACCTTACCTTATAATATGCACACTCACACCTCCCAATATAATTTGTTTTTTTTTTCTCTCATAAAAAAATCTTACACTTTAAAATATTTATAAATAGAATAATCCTGTTTTTTTTTCAATGTTTTTCATCAATGGGCAAGGTTATAGAAATCCGATATGATCGATATAAAACCATATCATTTCATCGAGTTGGGAACGTATAGTGTTCGTCTAGCTGGATATTCAGTATTTTTTCATGTTTATTTATAAGTTAAAAATGATAATTAATGGGTCCATTACATTGTAGTGGAATATATAGTTTGATTTTATTTTTCACTAAAGCCTATATGTTTTTATGCATATTGTCAATGGAGACATGCGAAAAGCTCTAACCACCACGCTTTCCATATACGAGATTATCATATCACATGCATGCATTTGTTCTTCTCAACCATGCAGAGATATGTCATCATGTTTCCTTATTTATCTAAATTTAATTTGTAATATATATATATATATGTGTATATATATATGGGGAGAGTGGCAAAAGCACTAATTAAGGGACATATAGGTGGTGTTGCCACTTTCATAGGTTGCTTGCTTACATCTACATGTGTGTTGCAATTTCCTTCATCACGGGCTTTTCCATTTTTATATATATATATATATATATATATATATATATGTGTGTGTTGTTACGTGGCACATTCCTTTAATTAATGCTACTAAACACCTCCCCAACTTACCCCATGTTTCAAATATTTAAATAAATATATCGTTATGCTTTTATTTTATTTATCATTTTTGAGTAGATATGCTGTTTATTTTCGGTTTGACATTTCATTATCCGATACTCCCATACATCAAGTGTCTAGATTTTTTGTCTACTAAATTATTTCTTATAAGCAAAACTTCTAAACACTAGAACCAACTCATCCTAAAAAAAACACACAAAAATAATTTAAAAAAGTGTAATAGTTGGTGTCTCTTTTATTTTTATTTTTTTTTGTTAGATGAGTTTTCTAATTTATCCATATATGATATAAAACAAAAAGGATTCGAAGAATGTTTTTCTGTGTGTGTTACGCTTGATCACTAACCTCATATATACAACTCGATAGATCTAACAAACCCTAACAAGATCGATATCAAATCTCTCTGGAGTCTATCTATATCTCGTAACTAAATATATCACAATATATATATGTACACGTCATTACCCCCCCTCAAGTTGGTAAGTGCAAGTGTTGCACACCCAACTTGCCAAGAAACCACGCAAATTCCTTCTTCCCTAAAGCCTTAGTGAAGATATCAGCTAATTGTTCCCGTGTCGAGACGTGTTGCGTGGTAATGTTGCCATGATCGAGATGGTGACGTAGATAGTGACAATCCACCTCAATATGTTTCGTGCGTTCGTGATATACGTTGTTGCGGGCAATATGTAGAGCGGCTTGATTGTCACAAAACAACGACATCGGTGAAGAGTGATCCACACCAAAACTGGAGAGCAGACTTTTAATCCATAACAACTCACACGTAGCCACTCGCATAGCACGATACTCAGATTCAGCTGAGGATAAAGATGGTATAGACTGCTTTTTGGTTTTCCATGATACCGGCGATGATCCGAGTTGAATGAACCAGCCGCTAACGGATCTGCGTGTGATAGGGCAGCCGGCGTAGTCTGCATCACACCAGCCCTGCAACCGAAGTTCCGAGTCTGACCGAAAAAGAAGACCTTGGCCGGGATCATTTTTAAGGTAACGAACGACATGGATGGCGGCATCCCAATGGTCCAGGCGAGGAGCCTGCATGAATTGAGACAAGACATGAATCGAGTAACTCAATTCGGGTCGCGTGACCGTTAAGTAGATTAGACGCCCCACTAATCGGCGATAACGACTTGCATCATCGAACAGAGGACTCTGGGACAATGGCAGGCGATGATTTTGCTCCAAGGGAAAGGCCGCCGGTTTGCATGCCAAGAGACCAACTTCCGAAATAATGTCGAGAGCGTATTTTCGTTGACAAACGTGAATCCCCGAGGCATTGCGAGCTACCTCTAAACCCAGAAAATATTTTAGAGGACCCAGATCCTTCATGTGAAAACATGAACTCAGATAGTCTTTGAAAGCGTGTAAGGCAACGGGAGAGTTGCCGGAAATAATCAGGTCGTCCACATAAACCAGGACGCAAAGATGTACTTTGCCTTCTCGAAACACGAAGAGAGAGTGGTCAGATTGCGATTGGATGAAACCGTAAGTCTGTAATGCCGAACGCAGCTTCTCAAACCAGCAACGAGGAGCTTGACGGAGTCCATACAAAGACTTCCGAAGACGACAGACTGTGGCTGGATCATGAGACTCAAAACCTGGCGGAGGACGCATGAAAACCTCGTCCCGAAGATCGCCATGCAAGAACGCGTTGTGGACGTCCATCTGATGTATTTCCCATTTACGAGCAGAAGCAACGGCGAGAAATGTACGAACCGTGACCATCTTAGCCACCGGCGCAAAGGTTTCGCTGTAATCCAACTCATCGACTTGGCGATTGCCAAGGACAACTAACCGAGCTTTGTATCGTTCAATCGAGCCATCCGAACGATACTTAATGCGGAATATCCACTGACAGCCTATAGCCTTTTTGCCTGGGGGAAGCGGCTCGACTGTCCAAGTCTGATTTTTCACCAAGGCATCAATCTCAGTTTGCATGGCAGCTTTCCACCTGGGATCGGTAATAGCCTCTTTATACGATCTCGGTTCATGCCCTTCGGAAACAGCTGCTAAAAAGGCGCAATGGGAAGACGAAAATTTAGCACAGTTAACAAATTGTGATATAGGATACGGTGTACCTGAAGAGTGTCGAAGGTCGGATGAGCGAGGAGACGGACTCTTGATGCAAACAGTGTTCGTGACATAACCCTTAAGACGTGTGGAGGGATATTTAGCGCGTTTACCCCGACCTAGTTCAGTGTCATCAAGAATCACAGCTGTATCATTCTCGACAAGACAACCCCCATTGTTGGTGGAAGATGCAGCCGATGGACAAGAACCAAAATCGACATCGCGTACAGAATCAGCAGACACGAGGGTCTCATGCGGTTCGTTCGAGTGAGTAACCAGATGGCGAAGCGACGTCGAAGAAGAAGGGGGATCAAACTCATCCTCAACCATAACTGGCCAATTGTCAGGAGGAGGTGAAATAACGGAGGAGCTGATAACGGCATCAGGGCATGCGAAAGGAAATTGACTTTCACAAAAGATCACATCGCGGGACACAAAAAATTTCTTTTGGTCGAGATCATAGAGCCGCCAACCTTTCTTGCCGAAAGGGTAACCCACGAACACGCAACGGACACCACGAGGAGCAAATTTGTCTCCTTTGTGATCCTTATTATGAGCATAGCAAAGACAACCGACGACACGAAGATGAGCATAATCCGGTTTTCTTCCGTGGAGAACCTCGAACGGAGTACGTCCTGACAAAATCTTCGAGGGGGTCCGATTGATGAGGAATCCCGCAGCTAGAACACAATCTCCCCAAAATTCGATAGGAAATTGAGCTTGAAACATCAATGCACGAGCGACATTGAGTATATGTCTGTGCTTTCTTTCCGCTCGTCCATTTTGTTGTGGGGTATCAACGCAAGACGTCTCGTGCAAAATACCTTGAGAACGAAAATAATCACGGAGACAGACAAACTCCGTGCCATTATCGGTTCGAATGGTCTGAACTTTCTTTTGAAATTGTCGATCAGCCATTGCAACAAAATCGATGAGATAACGAGCAACTTGGCTCTTCTCGGTCAGAAGATACAGCCACACGCCACGCGAGAAGTCGTCGACAATCGTAAGGAAGTATTTGGCACCGCAAAAGGATGGAGTACGATACGGACCCCACAAATCGCAATGAATAAGCTGGAAAATGTCGCTCGTTTTATTAGAACTCAAAGTAAAAGACGTACGAGTCTGTTTGGCTCGAAGACAAATATCACAAGAAACATCGGAGAAAGCACTTGGAAGGCGACATAAATGACCGAAAGCCTGCTCCACTATCTTAGTCGATGGGTGTCCTAAACGCTTATGCCACACGTCGAAGGGAACCTTGTCACTTGAATGTACAGCAGCTGCGAAATCAACCCCGCGAAAATAGTAGAGTCCGTCCCTAAGCTCACCCGCACCAATCAACATCTTCGTAACCCGGTCCTGAATGAAACACAACTTGTTAGTAAATTGTACTAAAAAATCGCAGTCGGCCAACAGTTGAGATATGGAGATCAAGTTGACATGCAATCCGTCAACATAGAGGACGTCTGTCAGCTGTAAATGTGTCGACAAAGCGACAGTCCCAGATTTGATTGCTAACGAGTGATGTCCGTCGGGGAGAATCACATGAGACGGCGCCGACGCAGTTACACAGGTCAAGAGATCGAGCTGTCCGGTCATATGATGAGATGCACCTGTGTCGAGAATCCAAAAATCAGAAGAAGACATACCAGATGTTGTTTCGGTTGCGCCGATTTTCCCGGCATTGAGCAGGGAAACGAGAGTCTTCCACTGATCATCGCTCAGGCCACTTACAGGTGGTTTGTCGGAGTCATGGAGGGCCGAGGATGGAGCCTGGGAAACAACCTGGGTCGCATTTGCACGGGCTGTACCCCTGCCGCGAGAGCTCGATGGTGCGCCACGTCCCCGACCGGTGCGAGTGCGAGGACGATCTCCCCACCAATCCGGAAATCCCAAAATCTGGAAACAATTGTCGACCGAATGACCTGTGCGTTCACAGTTTGAGCATACAACAGACTTGTCCTTGACAGTCGGTGTCGAACGTGGTTTCGGTATGGCCTGAACCGAAAACGCAGAGACGTCAGACATGTCAGCAGGACGAGACACATGAACCTTCGATTCCTCGTCTTGCGTGACCACCATGTAGGCCTCTTCAACAGTAGGTAGAGGTTGTCGAGACAATAGATTCGAACGAACAACGGCGTATTTCACATCGTCCAAGCCAAGGAGAAACTCGTAAAGTCGGTCCTCTTGTCTCTGTTTTTCCAAGTCGGCGATGACGTTGCAGGTGCAACGACCACACTTGCAGGTTTGCAATGTCCGAATGCTCGCCAAGTCGTCCCAAATCTTTGTAAGCTTGCCAAAGTAACCCTCGACGGTTAATCCCTTTTGTCGGCAATTCGCCAATTCACCCCGAAGACGCAAAACACGAGCAGCACTAGACATCCCAAATCGACGTTTGAGATAGTCCCACAAGTCACTAGCAAATTCGCGATGAACAACATCGGAACGTAAACTCGGTTCAAGAGTATTCTTGATCCAAGACACGATCAATGAGTTGTTCGTTTCCCAATCTTCATAATCCGGAGAATCGAAATCAGGTTTCAGAATCCGCCCATCAACAAACCCGAACTTCTTTCTGGATATCAAGGCGTGTCGGATGTTGATGGACCATTCTTCGTAGTTGTGACCGCGCAACAAGGGCTGCGAAAGAACAAGTCCGGGGTTATCGCTGGGGCTCAGATCGAAAGGAGAAATAGTTCTCCTCGGAGCCGCAGAGGTCGCTGTTGTTGAAGCCGAAGACATCGTCGGTTCAACAAGGGTCGGTGGAATCGAAAAAACGGGATCGGAATGTTTCAAATATTTAAATAAATATATCGTTATGCTTTTATTTTATTTATCATTTTTGAGTAGATATGCTGTTTATTTTCGGTTTGACATTTCATTATCCGATACTCCCATACATCAAGTGTCTAGATTTTTTTGCTCAGATCGAAAGGAGAAATAGTTCTCCTCGGAGCCGCAGAGGTCGCTGTTGTTGAAGCCGAAGACATCGTCGGTTCAACAAGGGTCGGTGGAATCGAAAAAACGGGAGCGGAAGACATGAAAACAACCACGAAATCAGAGTTTGTCGGGCTCTGATACCATGATATAAAACAAAAAGGATTCGAAGAATGTTTTTCTGTGTGTGTTACGCTTGATCACTAACCTCATATATACAACTCGATAGATCTAACAAACCCTAACAAGATCGATATCAAATCTCTCTGGAGTCTATCTATATCTCGTAACTAAATATATCACAATATATATATGTACACGTCATTAATATATAATACTTAAGAACAATTTAAAATTTTTTATATTTACACACACACATATATATATACACACACTTTAAGTTATTGCCCATTGTTAAATAAATAGTTGATGTGCGTTTGTTGTTGTAGGTAAATGAATACAAACTATAGTTTTGACTTTACAAGGAAATACATACAATACATGTAATTATGAGAAAGTTATAATAACTCACCCTACCTAGTTAATTCAACCGGTGAAATGAGGTGTAATTACTCATATGGCATACCTTCGATCCCGCAATTAGTGTGGAACTCGGTGTCATGAGTGTAAATAATGTAGCGATTGGTGGGTGATTAATTAGTGAGAGAAAAGTATAATTAAGAGTATATGATTATGTAATAAACAATGATGGAATCTCTCAGAGGAGAGAGAGAGAGAGAGATGGGGAACAGCTGTTGAACAATGTCCCAAAAGGTTGACTTGGGAAACTCTGTCAAAGAGACAACTCTTCCCCCTCCCATTGATTCTCTTGGACTTTCCTTGGACCACTCCCCCATCTTGGACTCATACAAATAAATTAACCGATTTCATTTTATTTATTTGTTTATTTATGATGCAACACATTTATAATTTATTAATATTTACAAGTTTTGACACCAATATCTGGTTTATATTTAGGTTTAAATTTTATTAAAAAAAAATACTTATCTTTTTAAAACCGGTGGCTTTAAATTACAGATTTAGATGTATTGGATTTTTTTTATATGACTGGATATTATTCGGTTGTAATCCCTAATAATATTTAGTAATATTCATGTGAATTCGTAGTTAATGTTTTTCCTATCAAGTATTAAAGTGGGCATTTTGACTAAGAATTTATTCAACATTATATAAAGTGGGCATTTTGACTAAGAATTTATTCAACATTATATATAGATAAATTCGTGTAGAAAAAATTAGCATACCATATCATATATATGTTTGATTGGAATGATGTTAAAAAAACCCAAATTTCAATTTGAAAAGGACATGTGCATAGCTTATTTATACATATATGTATAATACGATTATACAAAACCCTTATCACATAAAAAAAAATAAGCTTAAAAAAAATAAAACCAAAATACATTTGGCATCTTCGTGTATTTATATTCGGCCTTTTCCTCTTCCAACCTTCTCAACCTCCAAATATTTATTCTCTCTCTCCCCTTCTCTCTCTCTCTCTCTCTCTCTCTCTCTCTCTCTCTCTCTCTCTCTATGAAATCAGAGCCAAGAAGATGAAGCAAAGTTTCCTCCTCAAAGTGTGCGTTCTCTTCTTCATCTTCATCGTCTTCTCCTCAATTCTGTCGGCAAATCGAGAAGAACCCAAACAAGGTAATCATAACACATGATAAATGCGAAGATAATCATATAAGATTAAGTTTAATTATTTAATTAGGACCTTTCCTTAATCTTGATTAGGACAAGAGGAGGAGTCAACGCTGAATCTACCAACTTCCCAAGTTTCAGACACGCCAATGGAAGAAGACATAAACGTAAGCCTATCCAACTTATCTCTCTATATAACAAGGGGTTCGAAAGTTTAAATTATTCTAATTACTATGCATTTTTAGTAATTTATGCTTGATTTTTTGTTTGTGTGGAGAGTTTATACTTTACCATTTTGTTTTTAAAATATGAATCCGAGACTATTGTGTTGTTAACAATATATTATTGTTTATAGTTATTAATTTTTATTTACCTTCAATTATTTTAATCAATTATAATTTAAGCATTTCCACCATATTTTCCACTTTAAGAATTTTTTAACTCTTTCGTGAAATAGAAAGTGAAATTTATGCACAGTGTTCCGCATAGTTGAGGAAAAGTATATAACTACAAATTAAACATATAAATACATATAACTATATCCTACAAATCTAAGAAGTTTTAGAAAAAGTATATATGAATTTTGTATATTTTCCCCAATGGCCGAAGTTGGTGTGTGTGTTAATTTTCTGACCTCAGCTGATTTTGCCATATATATTAATTTTTACCTTTCTGCCAAAAATGTCACATGGAAAATTTTGGAAAAAGACACAAATTTGTGAGACATAGGATGTATTTATATATTTCATTTGATAATTTTCGGACAATAATGTGAAAATAATGACAAAATTTTTCCTTATTTAATTTTTTGTTTTCTCCCTTTGACCGTTCAATTTAAACTAAAACAAACTACCGTCTCTTTTGTTTATCTTTCAATAATCCATTGAATTAATACTGAAATAAAATTTGCACATATATATGTATGTATACATATATATTCAAAAATATATAGTAGGGGTTCAATAAATGTCAAATATATAAATTATAGCACTTTATTAGATGTGATATGATGAGGGCATCTTAGTTAGTGGCATAAGAATCCAGACACATGGCTGTAAACCTCATGATCGTGTATGGATTTTTACCATCAACACGCACATACACACACATATATAGGGAGGGAGAGAGCGTATCTAATGATATCAGCATTTAGATGATATTGATTTGATTTGATGAACTATACATGTAAGTTCTACTAAGTTTTATTAATCTTATTAGTTAATTTAAATAAATAATAATCTTGATGATATCATAAATATCCGACAGATATTGATGGGAATGGAAAACTGCGAAGAGGCTGACGAAGAATGCTTGAGGAGACGAATGATGACGGATGCTCATTTAGACTACATTTACACACAACAGCATAAGAATTGAGGCATGCATGCATGCACGCACGCACGCACACACGCATGGCCGACCATGCATAATTAACATAACATATACACATATGTATGTGCGTATATGTGAGACTTCTATATATATATATATATAAATATATGCATATGTATATGTTGGAGAAACTGAGGGTTTTCTCTCTAGTGGATTATGCTCTGTCACCCTTTCATTGTATTATTATGTATCATACGATCCATATATATATAACTAATCGAAATTGTTAGGTATATTTGCCTTTTTTATGTGCCATAGCTTTGATGTAATCATATAACATATCATGGGCATGCCATTACTATTGTACCTATAAAATGGACCGTTGCTGAGAAAATGATTAGTTTCAAATTGTACTTTATTTTTGGGTTATTGTGGTCTATTATATATATATATATATATATATATATATATGTGGGACAACTTGTTCTCTTCTCTTCATAGCTCTTTGGATTCTTTTTAATTTCTATTTCTCTGTGGTCTTTTTTAAAAAAATATATATATAATGTAGAATAAGTTCCACACAAATAAGCATAAATTATTTGAAACCAAGAATTTTCCACAAACAAACTAAAATTATTGAAATAACATTATATTGGAGTGGCTAGTTTTAAGATTATATTATGAAATATTTTCAAACCATATTATCCATAAAGTATCATAAATAAAATATTATTAAAATATCTTCTGCAAAATTGACGACCATCGCTTGATATTTTGTTTCCTTTTCTGCTAGTTTTGTTGTCACGTATTAGGTTTTCTTCCTAGTTAAACGATTGACAAATTAATATTTCTATTTATTTATGGTCTTTTTTAATTTTTACTTTGGTCGCTTTATTAAAAATAAAAAAAATATATAAAAATGAATAAATATATTCGCTAATTGCTAAAATTTTCAGGCACCATTGGCGGTAGTTGATCCCATCATACGGAGACCATTAATACGCTTTGTAGGGTGACAGTTAGAGAAGTTATATTCTCTGTGAATTTGGTTGCAGGTTTCTCGTTGACTAAAATGCAGAACATATACATACATACATATATATATATATAGCTTGCTTGCTCTCATCAATGGAAATATTAAATAATATGTTTGACCAACATAGATTTACTTACAGAAAATTGGAAACCATGGAAAATCATGAAACTAAATATTAGGAGAGTATATATTTTTTTGATTATTTTTAATATGATTAGTTTTGATAAGAAAAATAATATTTTAATCCATTTTTTTCTTTATCTATCCAATAAAAATAAAGAAGTGATTCTAATAATAAAAAAATGTCAAAGACTGAATTGACAAAACAAAGGGAAAAAATAGTGAAAGAGGGAAAAAAAATACGAAATATGCAAAATAAGAAAAGAGCTTGTAAAAAAAGCATAATAATAGAAAAAAGACATTATTTTGTAACGCTAATTAGGAAATAAAATCAATCCAAATTTTCAATTGGACACAACATAAAGTTAACTAAAAATGTTATTTCAACAGTAATTACAAAATTCTTTTTATTCAGTCGTAATGACCAAATATTTGACAAAATATAAATATATATCATAATGATAGTAACTGGGCTTTTAACTCCTGGGTATGGGCCTCATAACTGAGTTCATGTTTTCGTAGCAAGGAGCATGTGACTGCACGCCACGTGTCGTTAGAATCGGAACCAGCGTCCCACATCGAATTGAAGCAGTGTTATTATTTTGTTTATAAAACAGAAGAGCGAAGAACATGATTGTCCCTTCGGGGACATCCGATAAAATTGGAACGATACAGAGAAGATTAGCATGGCCCCTGCGCAAGGATGACACGCATAAATCGAGAAATGGTCCAAATTTTTTTTCTACTCTCTTCCCCCATCGCCATTTTCCCGGTGAAGTTTTCCATCGTTTTCTCGGCAGCCAAACAGCCTGTTATTGCCTCCTTTTTTCCTTCTTCTTCTTTTTTTTTTCCATTCTTCTATAACTGGAGATCTAAACGCCGGGACTCTTTTTCTCCCTCAAATTACCATAACTGGAGATCTCAACCATAATATTCTCAATCACTTTGATTTCCCAGAAAATTTTTCTGCAGAATTTTCCGTAGGTTTCTCGGCTGCCAAGAGCCAAGCCCCATTGAAGCTCCAGTTTTTATCCTCGAATTCTCGGACCATAGGAAGTTAAATTATAATTTCAGTAATATTAAAATACCTTTCAGTATTCTTCTTCTTCTTCTGCAATTAGTATTACCTTTCAGTATCCCCCAGGAATGGCAAGCATGGAGAGGAAGAACAACGTAGTTTGGGCTTTGATGCCATTATAATGGGCCTAAGAAATGGGCCTTATAAAAGGGCTTTTACAACCATAACTACGTTTGTTAACAAATAGACAAGATGACATCTATAGCCTCGATGACGTGTAACAAATAGCCAAGGTGAAGTTGACGTCGGACCCTCTACTCCAAAAAAAAATTTAAAAAAAAAAGAGAAGATTTTTTTTTTAATGAAAACTAATATTCATTTCAATTTTTTGTTGTTTTCTTTATTCTTATATTTTGGATTTTTAAAAATTATATAATTATATGTTATCCGATTCGATTTTATTTTAACCGGACCAAAATACCGAAATGATCATCCTGTTTTAAAATATATTTTCTATTATATCGAGTTGTTACTTATTACTAGATTGGATACGGAGATTTTGGTTATCCAACCTCGAGTTCAAATCTCTAGCAAGTGTCTCAAAATTATGGATCCAAATTTCAAGATCGGATCTCAATTTTCAAATTGGAAATCCGATTTCGATATTTATTTTATTTGTCTAATCCTACTTTATTTTTTCTTCTTTTGGATTTTCAAAAAAAAATAATATGGGGAGAATTTCATAATAAAATCGAGATTTAGCGCGAAGGACGAAATAAAAGGAATGTTCAAAAAAATTGGAAAAAAAAAAAAATCCAAAAAATGATCTCTCTGCCACACACCGCGGTTTTCCCCAACGGGCTTCTCCTCCACAGAACCACCTGTCGGAACCCCAGTCGCCGTCTTCGGATCCGATCATCGTCGAGCGTACAGGAACGAGGTGCTGACAAGGCGGCGGATTCGGCGGAGGAAGGGACGGGGCTGAAGCCGGAGCTTTATGCTTCGGCTCCGCTTCCGCCGGTGCGGGCGGCGAAGCGGGTGGTGCTTGTGAGGCATGGGCAGAGCACGTGGAACGCGGAAGGTAGGATCCAAGGAAGTTCGGATTTCTCTGTACTGACGAAGAAAGGCGAGGCTCAGGCCGACACTTCTCGCCAGATGCTCGTCGATGACTCCTTCGACGTCTGCTTCTCCAGGTCCTGTCTTTTACTTTTTCGGAAGTGATTCTGACTTCCGAATTGAATTCTTGACTTGTGTTTGTTGTAATTGTTGGGATTTGGATTTGAGACCTGAACTGAAGCTGGGTTTTGTATCGTTGCTCGGAAGTTCACATTGATGGTCTTTTTGGTAATAGATTAATTGTATTGATTGGTTGGTGGAGGAAATAGCACTCAAAGGGTGCTCATGTTCTTGTCTGTTTGATATAAGTGGAGAATGGAGAGAATGAGGTGCTTGAATGGCGAGAAAATATTGTGGGTTGAGTGAGACAGGGAAATTGATTTGTTGATATGATGATTCAATTTGATTGTTGACGAGTAGGTCAAGCCGTTTTGTCAAAATGATTGTTTCTTCTTTTGCAATGGGTTACCTGTTTCCAGATTCTAGGCCTATGACGACGGAGGCTTTCGGAGATAAAGCCTTGTAAATAAGCTGCATTTATGCGTTATTGATGAGGTGGGTTTGTGATTTCAGCCCCCTGAAGAGATCGAAGAAAACAGCTGATATCATATGGGGTAATAGAGGGAATGAGATGATCACGGAATTTGATCTCAGAGAGATCGATCTATACTCATTTCAAGTAAGTTTTAGTGTAGTGGTTACATCAATATTCTTGATTCCTAGAGCTTATATGTCAATGAGATAAACAGATTGGCACTTTTCGTCCTCTCTAACTCTTGCTGTAGTGTGATTGTTATACAGGGTCTTCTCAAGAACGAAGGGAAAGCAAAGTTTGGTCCAGCTTATAGGCAATGGCAAGTAGACCCGGCAAACTTCAATATCGATGGACACTACCCAGTGAGGGAGTTGTGGTCCCGTGGTAGAAGCTGCTGGGACAAGATTCTTGCCCATGAAAGCAAATCTATTCTCGTTGTTGCTCATAATGCTGTTAATCAGGCTCTTGTAGCAACAGCAATTGGTACTTCTCCGCTTTTTCAGGATCTTGTGTTGTACCAAGAGACTGCCAACTCAAACTATCATTTCTTTGTCATAATCTTCTTGTGCTGTCTTTGGTTGGAAGACAGGTTTGGGAACAGAGTACTTCAGGGTTTTGTTGCAAAGCAATTGCGGAGTAAGTGTGCTCGATTTCACGCCAAGAGCTGATGGTGGATCGCCTCACATATGTCTTAATCGCTTAAATCAGGTAAAATGTGAAAGCAAAACTACTTGACATGTGTACCTCTGGCATTTCTTTCCTTAAACATGTCAGATTTTAGATAGAATTGAAGTGATTTTGCACGATCATTTCTCTCTGTGAACCTTTTGAGCCGGGTGTAACGGAAATGATGCACCTTTATACGGTTAAAACGTTCTGTATGTCATGGACGATGATGTTGTCTATTCTCAAAACTACACTGACTTTCTTGGTAGTACACATGCAGACACCCAATTCTCCTGTAGCCTCTGGAAGTTCTGGTGGCCGCAAAACATGTAAACGTATCGTACTTGTCTGCCATGGAGCTACACAAGGAGATAACGAGGTATAGAGTGAATGATTTTATCTAGATTTCATACTTCATTTTACGTGTAGGAATAAGTATCTGTCTTGACAAAGAATGTTTGGATCGGAAGGTTGTTCTCTTTATTTACACAACCTTTTCCGCATCTAGATTAGCTCTTATCGAATATCATTCATCTTCTACATTATTTCAGTTTTCCATTCTTAAATTTCTGCTTTTGCTGAGGAAGCAGCATCCTTAATTGCAGGCTGTCTTTCCCAATTTTGATGATCAGCCGATGAACATGCTTGGAGCTATACAGGTAGATATATAACTTATGCAGGATTGTATTTGTGTGATAGTTATATGGTGGTTTCCTTAGGTTCTCTTTCGAAGAATACCTAGTGACAAATCCCATTTCTTTGGTTTTAAGCCCATTTATGTTCTTGGTATAGTTTTAATCTTCTTTTCAAAACTCACATTTCCTTCATGGAAACATGCAGTCACAGAAAACTGCAGAGCTTCTTCTTGATTTGAAAGTGAGCTCCATTGTTAGCAGCCCTAAAAGCGCTTCCATTGAGACTGCTGGAGTAATATCCCGAGTAAGTTATTAACATGTAGCTTCACACCGAACCTTAATGCCCCCATCTCGTTCTTAGCATGATTTGATTGGTAGGTGCAAGAAGCTGCAGATTGCTTGGGTGCGGATTGTGTGCCTCGCTATGTGGAGATGAAGCAAATGAATGACCTTGATGTTGAAGGTGCCTTCCACAAATCCACCAAGGCAAGTTATCTCCAGATTCATATTTTCTTTGTTAGGGTTTACAACTGAAACATTAAAAAAATAAACTTTAGGAACTCGTTTCCCTCATCCCAGACTAGATTTAACATCGAAGTTCGAAGATTAAACTACCATTTCCAGGCTTTCCATCATCGTACATCCCCTCCAAATGTCATGACATAATATCCCTCAAAATCAAGTTCATTTTATTATGTCATCTGCTTGTTATTATGCCTTACAGAGTGAAGCCTCAGACCCGTCTCTCCTGTCCGGTTGGCTGAGTGAGTTAGATGATGAAACAGCTTCAGCTCTGTGGAACCAATCGGGGAAAGCGTGGGAATCACTCCTGGCTGAGCTATCGGATGAATCCGAGCCAGAAAAGGTAGTGGTCGTGGTGGCTAACCCATCAGTTCACATATCTCTCATAGCGCAATGCCTGAATCTCACCAAGGAGTGGCTCGGTTCATTCCATCTCGACGAGGGGAGCATAAGCGTTGTCGATTTCCCGGATGGCCCGGGCGGAAGAGGAGTCATCCGGTGCATAAACTACACGGCTCATCTTGGAAGATGGTCGATACCTATCACAAGGCCCACTGCTGGTGAAGAAGAGTTTTAGAAATCATCAGAATTGGAAACATCACACTACCTTTGTGTATCCAATCTAAGTGGGTGTTTGGGGATTGGAGTGTAATATACAGAATCTGAACGAGATTTCAGTTGCATCTGAATCACTGAGTTCGTGTGGTGAAACTCGAGTTATATATACACACACGCGCGATTAATTTGGTAGAATTTGTATACTAATTTTAATATAAACGATCGCCGAGGTAAAAAAAAAGATAAATCTACCGTAGATTTTCATTTAACTAAAGAGGGTACACATTCATACAAGTAATCAATGAGCCCCAAACGGTCAAACCACAAAAACACTTCTTTTACATTTTCACTGCTAATCAAATAACCACAACCACACCCCAAACTAAACCGGTTCTTGTTATAATTGGGAAACCAAACCATACCGAACCGGTTACATAAACCCAGCAAACTCCAAACTCTAATTAAGTAGGTCATGATGTATAGCGTGTGCTCAATACATATATAGAAAGAGACATATATATGATGTGTTTGATGATGACGATGATCAGGATGATGATGGCTTCACCATGACAACGGGGAAATCCAGGAGGACGATCTTATCAATGGCTGCAGTAAAGGCGGCGGAGAAGTCGACATGAAGAGGGTGGCTTGTGAAGGAAACGTAGGCTTCTTTGTTCTCAAAGGTCATTGAGAACGCATGAGTGAAACCTTGTCTCAGCATCTCATGGCTCTCTATGTCTTCTCCCCTATATAATATATATATATATATATATCATTAAATCTCATTAGATTACAGCCTTATTTATAATGGGCATGAATCATTATGCAAAAAAAAAAAAATATAAACAAAAAAAATTGCATACCATTCAAAAGATTTGACATCATCAATTTCAGAAACAAGCTTCTCTAAGCCCTTCAAGATCTCATCCACCCTAGCTTCTTCCTTGAACTTCACAACCACCAAATGCTTAAACCCTAAAGTCGCCATTTCTATAACCTTCACAATCTACACATATACATATATATATATATATATATTGGAAAACCCAACAACATTGTATGTCATTTTATAATGGTGGAAGTGAATATCTGTGTGAACGGTGCTTTTTTTTTCTTCGTATGTGGATGCTAATTTTCAATGTCCAACCTGTCTATATTCTGACATATACCCATATGACTAAATATATTTGAATATTTGCTTTTGTTTTTTTCCATTTGTTTCAAAATGGACCGTCTTCATTATAACTTATTGCAACATCAAACAAAACCCTAAAAAAAATTAGTTATTAACGGTATTCAAACACACATATATCGCCATAGATAAGTCAGAAACAAATACAAGCTGACAAAGATATATTTTTTTAATTTTATTATCAAATCAAATATTCAAAATTTTAGTATTATATATAATATATTATTATTCATTAAAGACAAGTGCTCTATATCATATCAAACTATTAATTATTATATAAGTTACTTCTAAATCAATTGAATCACTATTCAATACAATTTAATTATTATATAATTCGATTCATAATTAATGTCCGTGTAAAGATAATGGTTGTCCCCACTCTTGTCCTTAAGAGACCATACATTTGTATACACCTACGATGAGATTCATTGGATATTACATAACATTTGAATAAAAACTGTTTTGACATTGTGCGTTACATTCTCGTAAAATACACCCAATAGATTTTCATGCTATTTTCGATTCGTTTCAAAATTTTATTCGATTCGGTTCAGAATTGGTTTAATTAAAAAATATTTTATTTTAATTTTAAATTTAAAATAAATATTTATTTTGAAATTTTTTTATACCCAATTTACATTTTCAATTAATTTAATTTGAAAAAAAAATAGTTAGACTCCACGTATAACTTTTAAACGTTGAAAGAGAAATAAAGTTGGCAACTTTGTTAAATTAATAGACAAGATGTGAAAGGCATGAAAAACACAAATGAAAAAGGAAAAACATGGTGCATGGCTTTGTGTCAGCTCAGTATCTTTTTCTGCACCCTTTTTTTTAAAATAAAGTTTTAATTGCACCATGCCATTTTTATTATATGCTTTTTATATCACATGAAGTTGGGACCCATTTTCTCCACAATTTGTTAAATCCTTTATAAACAAACCCGTACCCTGTCTTTTCTTTCAATTTTGCCACTATCATAAAAATTTATCATCGAAAACACTGTTAATATAATTTAAAAAAAAAGATGATATATATTAATATCAATAATACTAATTCTATTTGAATTCATTTTGAAAATCCAAAATAAAATTTATGATACTGAAAACACACAACGTGATTAATGCAACGACATCAAGCAACATGTTGTCTAAACATCAGAGATATCATTTTCAAATTTTGTTTTCGACGTGTTATAAAACCATGTTTATGGAAAAAATATATCATTTAAAATTAAATGTTGTTGTGTAATTTAGATGATAAACAAGTCGATGACTTCTTTAGGTATTTATTCTATATTCATGACTTTGTTTCGACATAGAGATAAATAAATAAAATATTTTCTTTTGATTATTATCTTGGTCTGTTTTTATAGATTTTGTAAAATTTTCTTTGTATTCTCTCTTTTACGGTTTATTTTTCGCTTTCAAATTTAAAAAAGGAAAATTCGGTATTATAATGCTTTCTCCTTTCTTTCCTAATTTGCAAAATTAAAATTTATAAATTGAATTGACCACCAGATTCCTCCAATTTCTCAGTGGAAACACATGGGACCCAAAAAAAACACGTGGGGAATGGGCAAAGCCCAAATGTTACAATTGAGTCATAATAATTGGGCCTAAAATTTAATGTGGGCCTTAGACTTTTAAATGGGTCAAGATATTATGTTGGGTCTAAAAAAAATATGACCGTTCGGACAAATCTCTCTCAGAAGTTGGAGTGTGTGTTCATCTAAGCTCTTCTCACGCGAAATCTTGGGGGGTTAGAGATTTGGAGTGTAGAAGAAAATGATGGAGGATTCGGAGAACGGAAGTGCGAGTCCGACGAAGGAACTGGCGGCGCCTCCGCCGCCGGAGGGAGAGGAGGTGGAGCCGATGGTCGGACCTGGACCTGCCCCGCGCGCGAAGCGCAAGCGTCCGCTTCAGTTCGAGCAGGCTTACCTTGATTCGCTTCCGTCTGCTAACATGTAAGTGTGTCTATACGCGTATACATGTGTTATTGTTAGGGTTATTTACTTCTGTTCGTCATCTTCCATTTGGCTGTAAGAGGTTTAGGGTTTTGGTGCTTTAGGGTTCTTCGTGTTCTGGATCATTTACCAACGTGTGGTGTCATGTTAATCTAGGAGGAAAAGCTTGCGTTTTTGGTTGAATGGTTCGTACTAGGATTTTAGCCAGAGACCCGTAGTTTTGACCTTTGAGACTTGCGCTACTGCCATTAAACCAAATTTCATGTGAGTTTAGGTTTAGTATTAATGTACTTTGGCGTGAATTTACATCTGGAGTTAGCATAATGCTTACAAAGGTTCATCTGAGATTACGATCTTGAATTTCGAAAATTCAATGTCGTTGAGGTTTAATATTTATGTGAGTAGAAGAATTCTTCTGTTCTATTCACAGGTATGAGAAAAGTTACATGCATCGGGATGTAGTTACACATGTTGCTGTTTCAGCAGCAGATTTCTTCATAAGTGGGAGCATGGATGGTAAATTTTCAGATTTCTCGTTGTCCCCCTTTTTGCTCTTTTGTCTATTCCCTCTTGCTTATCCAATTTCTGACTTCATTCTGGTGATCTACTGGATAAAGGGAGAGAAGTGACATACTCCTCACCTCCCATGATTTGTGCCATAGAATTTCTGTGGAATTTTGTACATTTTCCCCATATTACTAATTTCTCTTCCTTTAACTAGGGCACTTGAAATTTTGGAAGAAAAAGGGTGTTGGTATTGAGTTTGCAAAGCATTTCCGGTCTCATCTTGGTCCAATTGAAGGTCTAGCGGTGAGTGTTAGCTTTTTTTTTCCCCTTAAAGTTTTCAATGCGAATTCTCCCTTTTGATATGTTTTAAGATGCCATTGGCTTCCTCAAGTGAAACTATTGAGTACCATTGGTATGCTCAAAAGCTGAGAGAATTTTTTTCAAGTGATTCACACCCAGTAAGCTATTTGGTCGTAAAGGAAAGAATTGCATTCGATTATAAGTATAATAACACATGTGAATAAGTATATTCCAGCCTGGATGTATTTATCCATAATAGTAGTTTCCTTTTTTGTGCTAGTTTTTAGTTCTGTTATCAACCATGACATGTTTCAGCAATGCAGGTGAGCTCTGATGGTTTACTGTGCTGTACTATCTCGAGTGATCGTGCTGTTAAAATATATGATGTTGTCAACTATGACATGATGGCCATGATCCGTCTGCCATATATTCCGGGTGCTGTTGAGTGGGTCTACAAACAAGGGGATGTCAAAGCTAAACTTGCTGTCAGTGACCGAAACTCAGCAGTTGTGCATATTTATGATGCCCGATCTGGTTCAAACGATCCCATCGCTTCAAGAGAGGTCCCTTCATATCTATATTTCTTTTTTATCTGTTAGTAGACTCCTCTTCTTCGCAAATGAATAGATTTTCCTTTAATCTTCTTCTATATTCAGGTACACTTGGAGCCAATTAAGGTTATGAAGTACAATCCTGTTTTCAACACGGTGATCTCTGCTGACACAAAGGGAATCATTGAGTACTGGAGTCCAGTTACATTGCAGTTTCCCGAGAGCGAGTATGCTTTTTTTTTTTCTGCCTAGAACCTCTGAGCATTGTAAAATTACCTCCTTGCACATTTCACATCGACCAGAGTGTAGTCTTGAATTATTTTGCAAGGACATGTGAGAAACACTGGAGATGGTAGTTTTCCTGTCTCTATGAGAGAGAAAAATGTTCAAATCCTGTATTAATGAGTAATGCCCTCACTTTGGTGTTATTGCAGGGTGAATTTCAAGCTGAAAAGTGACACAAATCTCTTTGAGATTTTGAAGTGTAAAACAACTGTCTCAGCTATTGAGGTACATACATGGCGCCCAGCATCATTATTTTGTGTCAAGTTTCACTGTGATTCTCAGTTAGATACCTCAGCATCTAATATCATTTTTTAATGTTTTGTAATTCCTTCCAGGTGAGCCCAGATGGTAGGCAATTTTCTGTTACGTCTCCTGATCGTAGGATTCGGGTGTTCTGGTTCAGAACAGGTAAACTGAGGCGGGTTTATGATGAGTCACTTGAGGTAATATCACATGTCTTATTTGCTCTCTATCCTTGTATGATCTTTCCACATGACTCTTTTCTGATAAATCATATCCCTTTGCAATTATTAGGTGTCTCAAGATCTGCAAAGAAGTGATGCTCCAATGTACAGACTTGATGCTATTGATTTCGGGAGAAGAATGGCTGTTGAGAAGGAGATTGAGAAAACCGAGACTGCTCCTCAACCAAATGCAGTTTTTGATGAAAGTTCTAATTTCCTCATATATGCAACACTCATTGGCATTAAAGTAAGTGATCCATTTTTTTTCTAGAAATAACATAAGCTAGCCCATCATATTAGTCATTATAATTATCCTGTCTCATCTATCCTCTTCCTTGTGATTGTTGTCATTCTTTTTTCTCATAATTTAAATCAAAGAAATGATGGAACATGAATGATACATTTTCCCTGTTTATTTTTTTGTTGTTTAGGTAATAAATCTGCACACCAACACAGTTGCGAGGATTCTTGGAAAGGTGGAGAGCAATGACAGATTTCTGGGGATTGCATTATATCGAGGTGATCAAAGCAGCAAGAAAGTCAGAAAGATTCCTGCAGTTGCAGCAAATGTAAATGAAAGCAAGGAGCCTTTGACTGATCCGACTCTCTTATGCTGTGCCTTCAAGAAGCACAGGATCTATTTATTCAGGTACGCATTGCACTAAAATTTCTCACATTTGTACTATGTCCTGAAATTGATATGCGTTTGCATGACCGTAGATTATATAGTGTAAAAGGAGGCAAAGCTTTTTTGCTTTCTGCTATGCTACTGAACTTCTTCCATCTATGGAATGGCTTTGTTTCCTTTGATGTTATGCAGTCGAAGAGAGCCGGAGGAGCCTGAAGATGCAACCAAGGGAAGAGACGTGTTCAATGAGAAGCCTCCAGCAGATGAACTTATGGCTGTCTCAGACATTGGAAAAACTGCCACGACATCTCTTCCAGACAATGTGGTATGGCCTTTGTTATTGTTGTCATGGATAACTCTCCATGTCTGCAAGTCTTTTTGAATAATTTCACGATCTTTTATATGTGGTTTTAACTGTTTCCTGAACTTCCTTTGCACTTCTAGATTTTGCATACTACGATGGGTGACGTTCACATGAAGCTTTACCCAGAAGAATGCCCGAAAACGGTGGAGAACTTCACAACGCACTGCCGGAACGGCTATTACGATAACCTGATTTTCCACCGTGTTATAAGGGGGTTCATGATACAAACTGGAGACCCTCTTGGGGATGGAACTGGAGGACAGTCTATCTGGGGAAGGGAATTCGAGGATGAGTTTCACAAAAGGTACTCATTTCGATAACTTACGACCACGATGAATCATGAATCTGGCATAGAATGCACTTATCCGATTCACATCACATTTGTTTCTATCCATGTCATCTTTGATAGAGTGTTGTATTTGTAGAGAACTTTTGGTAGTATCTCTTCTTGTTGAGATCCGCTCACCAATGACAACCATGATGCTTTTCACTATTGGTGCCATCGGAAAGAGTTATCTGTTTTGCATCATAGAGCCTTTAGTCATATCTTTACCTCGAAAAGGGCGGGGTTGATTTTCTTTCGTTCCCCGGAAATCTTGTCTGCCTTTGTAATCAGATAATCACTTTCCAATTTGTTCTAATGGATTGCCCAGAAAACTGAATGGCACTGACAGATAGTTTCTTCTTGTCATGCAGTCTAAGGCACGACAGGCCTTTCACACTATCAATGGCAAATGCTGGCCCGAACACAAATGGCTCTCAGTTCTTCATCACAACAGTTGCTACACCGTGGCTAGACAATAAGCACACAGTTTTCGGAAGAGTAGTAAAGGGGATGGATGTTGTACAGGTAAACGACTTTCCGAACACAACATTCTTTTCGGTATTCTCTCTCTCTCTCTCTCTTGGTATATGGTGGAGAATAACCGAGGCTATGAGCCACCGGAAAATTGGCAGGGTATAGAGAAAGTGAAGACAGATAAGAACGACAAGCCATACCAGGACGTGAAAATCCTCAACGTCACCGTTCCTAAATCATAGGCACATACATTGGGAGCAGCCAACCCGACAAGATGGGTAAGAATGTTACTTTGAACATGAGTTGTGATAAGGTTTTGCCCAGAGAACGATCCATCGAAATAGATATATCTTCGAATTCATGATGGCAGAGAGGAGACGAGAGGACGAGTGATTGAATGAATTACTCTCATCACCCAATATTCTCCGTTGCTTGCCTCTTCTTTCAATCCTTGTGTTTTCTCTTTTAATGCCTTCAAGAAGGACTTGGCTAGTTTCTGTTGTCCTTTCAGCATATTTTGCGGTATTTATACACATATAATACCCATATTTTAATATTCGTTACTTTATAGGAATAAACGGTACACTTTTTTCACTTGAATGATTCTGCATTTAGTTATGAAATTATATCCTTTTGGGAAAATTACAAAGCTTTTACTTGTTAAACAATACTCGTTAAGGTTCGAACGATTCGCAGATAGTGCGAAACAACCTTATCAGTGTTTTTCGAATTACAATTTAATTATTTTAATTATATCAGGATGAAACCTATAAAAACAATAAATTTACGTGACACATTAATTTTAAAATTTTTCATTTAATAAATTTATTTTTAAATTGATAAAATATGTTGTTACAATTTTCAAACTTTTTCATTAATTTGTAATAAAAAAAATTTCGTTCCATCATTTTACAAGTTTATTTTTTTTTAGATTTTCCATAATAAAAATCATATCAATTTTTTTTTATTTAGATGCATTGATATACACTAATCCCACATTCACCAATGTAACTAAAAGCTACGCGCTTCATGATACAAAAACCCAAAACAAAGCAGAAGGCCAGAAGCCTCTAAAGACGCATTAGAAATCAATCTGAAATGGCCATATATGTCATTGATTCATAAGCAAAATCCAATAATCAATGGAAACAAAATCCATATATGTCATTGTTCTTGCTTCATACCTAATTTCATAACTGTGATGAAAAAGAGACAAAGAATTCATACGGATATTGGTGATTCCCCGGCTGCAAAAACCTTAGTCGAAGAGACTGAAACCCATGTCCTGCATCAAAGCAAGCAATATAGCCCAAGTGAGGAGCGAACGTCCAGAAACTAGGAAGAAAATCTGGAATTCGGTGTCAATAACCAAAACCAGAACAAAACCAACACCAAGAACAGAGCAAAAGTAAAAGCCAAATGTGAAATAACTCAAAATGGGCACAGCAGAGACGGCAGAAACAGGCAAAATCCGCATTTGCAATATATGTTTTCGAGTATATGTAAGGTGAATTCCCACGAGTAAGATAGGCTTACATCATCAGATTCCTCTTTCTCTTCCTTCTTCTCTTCTTTCTTCTCCTCGGCTTCAGGAGCAGAAGCGCCACCAGCACCACTGGCAGGGGCGG